TCATAGCCATAATCAAGTGTTAATCCAAACTCAATCAATTAAGGATGGGGAGGAAAGGGGTCCACAATCGAGAACAATCTGTCTTAGTAACAATGAACTGTGATTTTAAATAGTTTCTGATAAATTTCAGACAGATCAAGAGCGATCAAGACTTAATGATACCCAATTAACCCTCAGCTCAATCACATTCACAGTAACTAATGACTCAATTTCCAAATCACTTCATCATAATTTCATAATTTTTTCTGTCAAACATTTCGGAATTAATAAGTTTCTATTGAAAACTCATAAAACATTCGAAACTTGACATGCAAAAGACTTTACAAAATAAACAAATGTAGCAATGCAATGGAAATAAACAAACAAAAAAAAATTAAAATCTCTGCCACATTTAAACATGCACAAAATAATATTTTTGTGATTTCTTCTGAAATTGCATTTCAATTGTGTAAATTGTGTAGCATTCCCTTCAAACGTACACACACACACACACACACACACATGATTTTTTATTATGTAAGTCCACATTGTCTCAATATTATTTTTTATGCATAGAAGTTACAATTTTTATATTAAAAAGGCACAGTCAAATTCGTATGAAGTTATGCATGAAAATTTTAATTGCCGTGTTAATTGATGTTGAAGCGCTTTAATTGTTTGTTGACGCCCGTCAAAGTACTTTCGAAAAAAAAAATTATATTTTCACAATTGAGCGAAAATTTCATATGAAAATCAATTAACAAACGGTTTATTCATAAATGACGTTTCTCATAAAATGGGTATTTTTAGACTCACTGTCCTCACTGCCATAAAATTTTTATGCTGAAAATTTTCTTTCACATGAAAGTCCCCAAAAGTTGAACGTCATTTAAGTACAACCCCCAAAAAATAATTTAATGACATTTAGTTCCAACGCACCTTGTAGAATTCATTCACATGAAAAATAACAAAGTAACGTAAATGTGACATATGAATTCAAAGAATTCAGAGCAGCTGCAGGATAGACTTAAGGATAACAACACGAAGCCAGACTCGCAATTATTAACCACAATAAAGATAAATTTTCCACCTCAAACTCATTTCCTCACAGCGATGAACAGGAATTAATGTTACACAATTAATTTAATAATGCTATTAAGTATCATTTATAATCATTATTGGGGCAACATGTACTTGATGATTGAACAATTTCTGTATCATTTACATTATTGATTTTTTATGTGATCATGATAAGACCATGAAATTGTAGATTCGTGGATATTTTGGATAAATTGTTTGTATTTTTTGATGGGTAATTAAATTAATTGTATTAAAATAATAATTTATTGAAACTTTTGATGAAGCAATTAATGCTTATTGTATTAAATTATGAATAAAGTCACCGCAATGGTGGGTTGATGGAAGCGATTTGCATGCCGTAGGTGTATTGATGCTGTAATGGCTGATTAACTATCACGTTGCGGTAATCTGTGGTCTGAATGTGTTGCTCTTGTCAATGACTCTGATCAATATTTTATAAATGTTCCAAAATAATATCAGAACTTATTGAAAATCATCTTTAGATTAATCCTCAAAAAGGCATCAATAAATCCTGCTTATTCATCTTAATCTCTTTTTCATTCCCAAAAAAGTATTTTTTTTATCTTGAAGATATTGCTGCTAATCCAACTAAGAATGTGCAACTCAAATTACATAAATAGGAATGAAAATTCCAAGAAGGAGCCTAATTGTCTTAGGGGCCGTTCAATTATGACGTCCCAAATTAAAGGTCATTTTTCAAAGAGAGACCATGGATTTCCAGGAATTTCTATTGTTTTTTTCTTGCTGACCCCCTCCCCCTCTCTCCCTGGACGTCATTAGTTAACGGTCCCTTATGTTAAGATGGGAATTTATCGTATTAATGGTTTTTTATATTAAATATTTATCGAGGCTATCCGAAGCAATTTGATGTGTTACACATGCGTTTGAACAGGATGTGTAGCATTTTGAAAGGATACAAGACAGAATGATATAATTGAAGGCAATCATATGAATTTATTGATTTGAAATACAGTATGTAGGCGGTCGATAAGGCTTTTCCATTTTTTGAATCAATGAAAAATCACATTTAGCGAAAATAACATTGATTTAAGAAATTTCTAAACCAAACACATTAATTCCATAAAACTTTAGCGTCACAGACTTTACACAGACACTAAAATTGAACATTTACATGCTAATCGTCAGAATTTTTAAATATTTCCTGACTCTGCATAAAAATGAGTGTCAAAAGTAAATTATAATCGAAAAAGTCTCTCGAATAATGACAATTAGCTCAGTCAATAAGACTAATGAGCTAATTATCATAATCAAATGATAAGTTAAAATAATTTGCGACGAAAATTGAAGATTATGGATGAAGATGAGAATATCTTTGTCTAATTATGAGGAGCTAATTATTCTGTGAACAATTAGGGAAGTTCATTCATGTTCACTGGATGATTTTGAGTTCTAGTGGATTGTTAAGGCAGGAGTTTAGTAATTTGGTACCAAAAATGTATCTAATGACTTAAGAAGCTCCTTTATCTAGTAGCTAGTCTCTACTTTAGTCCTTAGTCTCCAATATATCTAGATATATTGTATACATCTAGTTTAAGACTCAGGAAGAAAGCTTATAGAATTTAATGACAAATTAATCCATATTCATGACTTATGCACTGAACTTGCAACCACATAACAACCAATCAATACCAAATCCAAGCTGTATCAAATCTTAAAAACTAAATCAAGTTCAGCAAAAATTTTGACCTACAAAATCTTTAAAAAAAATATACAACAACTAATTAGCAATATCATGCAGAGCTAAGTCTTAACTTCAATCAAAATTAACAAGCAAATCCTAATTCTACATTTCATCAACAAACCTCATTTTGTATATCAAGGAACAAAAATAAACCACAAAAGATTTTTCACTTAATCCTCAAAAATCAGCTCAAAAGCTCAGTCAAGCCTTAAAATCTGTTTCCATGCTTTAATAAACTCCTACGCAGACTTCATTAAATAATTTTTTGAGGCATTTGTCTCCCCCCAATGAACAGCAAGTCTGGTGATTTTGTGAAGAAAAATTCTTCGTCCCATTTAAATTTTTTATGCCTACGGTGAGCGCATGTATCATTCATTTACTCATTTTGTTAGCTAATTATTTTTAAAACAAATTAAATTACAATTTAAATTCATTTTTCTCACTCTCGTAAGCTCTATATCCGTGTGTCTATGTGTAGGCGACTGTGTCAACAGGAGAAATTTTTTCCATCATCAAACTGAGCTTTTATTGAACAGCAAGATTAGGAAATGTGGAAAATGTTGATGATTGGCTATGTGTCTTGTGTTTTTGAGGAAGTATTTGCAAATTATTGAGGATGGGGAATTAATCACGTTCAAAAATTGACATAGAGCTCTCTTCCTGATCTATCGGGTATCAAACAGCTGTAGCTCGATTGCTTCTCGCCTTAAGAGATGGACTTAATAGTGAATATTTATCAATGAATTTAAGAATAAGTTAACAGTTGCATAGTAATGATTTTTGGTGAATTAAGTAGGCATCAAACATCTCCAGGCTCCATTTGGACCTATTGGCTACACCTAGCTTCCAGAAATTTCCTAAAAAATACTTAGCATGCGCTTCTTCATCGCAAATATTCCTAGAATCCCTCTCACTTCTCCTTACATTCTATGCTATATATTTTCCATAAATTAGAATTCAATTAGCAATGGAAAGATTGATTGTCATGAGATGACGACACCAATGATGATGATTCTGATACTGATGATGTGCGCGTATGATTTTCATTGTCGATTGGAAGTGCTCAGTATCAGCTTAAAATTCGTCTCTTTCATAACGTCGTGACAAATCGTGGTCGAAAGTTGATCTCGTTTTACATATTTTTTTTTCCTTGGTCTATAAATCATTGGATATATCTATTTCGTGCGTATATTAAAGTGCATGTGGCAGACAACAAAAATAAAAAAAAAACATATATGAATCAATTTTAAGTTTTATTGCATAATAATAAAGGCACAGCAAGAAGAAAAGAAAGCATTTAATTGTGAAAGTGATTAATGCTTGAATATTGAAAAAAAAAATTAATTTTTTTTTGGCGAATGAATGTGAATGGCGAATAATCTGGACCAAGTTAATAGTTGTAACAGTGACAGCAACGGCAATGGCAATAACAATCCAATTCCAAGAGTTTGTGTAACATATTGTCACTTTCCTCAAGACAGTCTTGAGCTGATAAATCAGGTTGGCCCAATTAACTTATAAATTGTTTTTAAGTTCGGTTCCATGGTCAAGTGAGAAAATGTTGCAGGGCATGCAGACATTTTATATCACAATATTGAAACAGCTTCTTGTTCAATTTCACTCGTGTTAGATGGCAATCAAAATTCGTTTAAAAATTCATCATCCTCAATCACATCGAAGCTAAGAATAGACTTCAATATTCAGCGTAGGCACTCTTTAAAAACAATCCTATCATTTCATGCTTCATGGTTACATTTTCCTTGAAGTCATTAACTCATACCTCGGCATTGAAAGCTTCCAAGAAGATTATTCTGTGGAGTATGAAAGGATCAATAAATTGATAGAATTGGGTAAAATATAATTACAATTTCCATGAAAGAAGGCTGAATGATTTTAAGGTATTGATGTGATGAATATTAATACAGTTTGGATAGGCTTTATTGAATAAAATTATTTAGCTTAGTGCCTCTAAGTGTCATAATAAGAAACAAGCAAGAAAAAAGTAGATTTGGATCCGATTATCTAATTTTAAAGACTATGCAGATTGAAATTTCACTTCCGTCCATATTTTACTTCTTGTCTCAATCTTTATTATTAAGTCTGCAGTTGCATATTAAAATTCAGAGAAGAAATTAATATTTTGTAGCTCTCAATTTGCCATTAATTTCACCCAACTCCACAAAATTCAACTAATCTATTTCTTCTTATCAATTTACAGACTGGAAAGGCTCCTTATTACGTCGGCACACAAACATTGCCTCGTGGACATGTTTACAGAGATCAATCAAAAAGTTCAATAGGTAAGTTTACATCGAAAATTGTTATTCATTATTCATGAAAAAAAAAAATTATAATCATTTCGTGTGATATTGATACAAATCCATACATTAAGTTTAATGAGATGGAGGGAAAAAAAGTTATCAATTTTGTGAGCGAGAGAGTTTTTTTTTATATATGCTGACATAAGAAACTTATATCATGCATGACAATTTGGGATTTTGGTTTCGGAGAAAAGGAAAGATTTAAAATTATAGGAGCATGAAGATTGCTGATTTACATGTTTTGAGATTGAATATTAAAGTTTTTATAGACTTAAATTTCATACAACAAAAAAAAATCCTTCAATCTACAACAAAAGCCTTCAGATAGAAACAATTCTCATAATCTCATGAAATTTATATTTATGGATTTCATTTTCAACGTAGAAAAATAAGTGAGGTTGAATAATTTATTTTAATTTATCATTCGCAGGTGTTCCCGCGAAGCCCATTCGATCTTATGGCAGTAGAGGTAACATGGCACCTCAATTTCCATATCCAACAGACCAGCTTTACAGTATTCCAGGTAAAGTTTTTCAAAATATCTTTTTTTTTGTGGTTTTATGGAATTAAGATAGGAAAAACTAGAAATTTGTCAAATAAAAGCTTCTAAAACTCTCTCAAAAAGCTTCAATAAATCACAAATTCATTAGCTCCACGCAGAATCAAGTCCCAATAAACCCAATGAGGTCAATCAGTTTCAATTGTAAAAGAACTACACAGCAGTAAAAATATATCACTCCCATTCTGATTCAATAAAATTTAATTAAAGCCACTTTCTTTGAAATTTCATGTAACATGTACTTTTTATTTACTTTACATCCATAGATGGTTATATGAGCTCACCAGAACGTGGTACGAGAGCATATGAAGAGCCTTATTATACGCAATATGGAACTCGTGGGAGCAGTGTGACGCCAATAATCGATGAAGAACAAAGGTAAAGATTGGACGAGACGGAAAAAAAAGTATTTTTTTACATAAATTTCATTGTCTTTTTGTTTTCTGTCTCATCACAAAAAAAAACTAGTGACGCGATGCTCATAGACGATCAATATTCAATGTATGGAATGAAGCGAATTTCACGTAATCCAAATCAAATGTATGATCCAGCAAGGTAAATTTTAGTCAATTTTTTATGTTTTACAAACAAATTTTTATTTACTCAAAAAAGTGAAGCTTTACATAGCCTTCAGCAATAGATATCATTGCATTGTACATATCTCCATCATATGGATTATTCATGTTCATTGATTCTGCATAAATTGACGATATTGTATCATTACGATTGTCAGATGACAAAAATGCTGTATTTCTTTTTCGTCTTCGTCCTGTAACTGTAATTGGACGTCTACGTCGGCGTAGTGGAATAGATCCCGCGTTTACTAGACTATTCATCGTATTTGATGTTGATGCATTTGATAAAGTGTTTGACATTAGGAGCGTTGTGCCTGCGGATGGAACAGAGAGAATGAAAAGAAGAAAAATTACAAGATGTTAAGTAAAAATTGCTTTGTTTTCTTTCGAGAGAATAATGGGTCCTTGAGATTATTTTTAGAAGAGTTTCATGTTCAGAATAATAGAATTAGACTTGTGTAAAGTTGGTGTGTAGGTGGATACACATGGTATGTTATATAGTCCGTATGAGAATTTTCTGATTAAGATGACCAACAGGGATGTAACATGATAAGGCTTTTGAATCAATTTACACCCTATCGTCAGAACCTTCACTTATCTGATGAGTACCGACTTTTAGGTTAATCCACGAGATACAGTCAAAATCGAGACATGATATTAAATACAGCATCTTTCACTTTTATAACTTCTTCACCAAACAGTTTGTAAATAGACCTTTGATAGGAATCGAACCTTCAACTAAGAGTATGGTACAACAGATACATAACTGATACTTTATCAATTGGTCATATAGACCTAGGTCTTATTCTGGCAGAATGGCTAACATATAGTTTGATACTCCTGATTCTTAACTGGACAGTCATCTTAATCCATAAATGAGGATACTTCTCTACTCGGATGTGCTTTGTAGAAAGGAAAACCTTTAAAAGTGACAAATTCACAACCGTCTCCACTCAAGTCATCCAAAGAATCTTCACAACAAAAGTAAAATTACAGTCATTCTCTCTCGCATAATTTTCACTCAGATTCAATTTTTCACAGCAGAAAAAAAAGTTTCTCCTTCCGTCACTTTCAAGAAATTAAATGCTTCAAAATTTCTCGTCTTTCACGATAACAATGAAAAGTTCCAAACAATTATTGTTTCAAGCCATTTACACTGCCGCTTCCCATTTATGACAATAAGAAAAAAATAACTCAATTTAAAACATTTTTTTTTTCATGTTTCAATTGAAGCATAATCCACGCTAACGTTTCACTTAGCTTCTCGAAACAATAAATCGCCGAATTTTGCGGAACTAATTTCTAATTCAATGGTTTTTCAAATATTTGCACATGTACATACCTTTAGCTTTAATAGCTTGAACAATCATACATAGTAGATAGCCGGCAAAAGCTAGAAATGCTAAAGCAGTCACAGATAGTTGAAAGAATGTTTGGATTTTGCTTGGTTTGCTGTCCCATGGTGTTTCTAGTCCACTAGAGCCTCCTCCAAAGCCAGTTTTCCTGGAAATATTTGTGGAGTTATTTTGTGAATTAGTTCGGAATGGGTTGAGGTATTGTGGGATATTGGATGTTCAGATTCTAGCAAATTTTGCATGGAGTCATTGACTGATGACATTTAAAGGAGTTGAAGAGAGTTTATGGACGTCGTAAGTCCATGACTCCTATATGCCGCTCAGTCATTGATAGACATTACCTATTAATAGTTAATTGTCTCTGCTGTTGCTGCAGATTCTGATTTATAGCCATTGGCAATGCACCATTCTGCCTTCTCTTTTCATTTCCAAAACCAGAATCATTAATAATCCGGCTTTCCATAATGGCTGATTCAGTCGTTCCTGTCTCCTCCACAACACCAATTGGATGTTCATCCACACGTTGATTAACTTGTTGAATTTCATCAATTGATTTTTTAACTTTTAGTAATTGCTCTAATGGAAGCTCGCTCAAATAAAGCAAATCATTTTTAGCAAAGTTCATTGGCACGGAATGGGTAATTGGCGTCTGTGTTGTATTATTAATTTGTTGCTTTACTTTGTGATTAGTTGCGAGACTTTCATTATTATTTTTACTACCGGCATCGCCAACACTTATTAATAGCACCACAATGAATCTTATGGAATTTTTATTCAACATTTTATTATAAAATTTATTTTATTTTTTACTTTTTATTCATCTTGATTGCTGCATTGCTAAACTGAAACTGACGTTAGATGAAAAGTCTTTTCATAAGACAGATTTTCATTTTATTATTTTTTCGTCAAGAAGAGAAAATAGAAATGATGTATTTTTGGTTTCTTGCTTCTTCGTTAAGCTTATGCTTTCATTTCATTCATTCTTTCATGCATGAGGTAGAACGATAGTGAAAGAAGATATGTTGTTGATAAATTATGATAATTTTTGAGAGCAAAACGTTGGAAAATTTCTCTATGTAATTTTTGTTTTTATATTTTCTGTCATTTATCATGGATTTTTGTAAAAATTTCTGTCACTTTTTTCTTCGTACTTAGTCTGTGATGAGTCTGAGATATGAGAATTTCACACTGCAGGTGATTTTCAATGGTGTGTTACTAGGTAGATAATTCTTTGTGTAGAATAAACTGCAGCTTTGAATATATTACTTTAGATTTGAACATTGGTGTCAAAAACTAGGGTTTAAGGCACATATTAGCCCATTGTCATGCATTTTAAATGCTCGAAAACAGTTCTATACTTAACAATCTTCTATCAGCTCTAGAACTGGTTTCTCGGACTATCCAGAGCTCTAATTCACGGCTAAGGCACCTTAGATAGATTTTTGTAGATGGCAAAAGCTCACGCGTACGTCACTAGAACTCTTGGAAAGAAGCTATTGACAGAGACAGTATTGCATTTGGTATAGGTAGTTGGCAAACGTTAGCCAGTGATAGAGACAGCTTCAGTCGCCATCTAAGGGAGGTCACAATTGATCTGTACGGCCAGCGAAGTAAGTACCTTACTTAGCGGCTAGATGTCGGCTTACCTCGATCTATTAAAGCGATCCTAGTTTCAAAAACTCTCCGAAAACCTTAATTATCTTAAACTAAAGGTATACTTTCAAATTTCATCCATATTCTCCAAGAAAACAGCGCCTTAGCCAAAAATTACAATCTTGCCATCCGAGATTACAACCTTCTTATTTCAGTACTTCTTATACTAGCTTTTCATATTACCACCGTACGTGAAGATGAAAAGATACTTCAAGATAATTGAGTGAAATACATTAAGCTTGAAAATAAACAGAGATAGAAATTTCCTTCAAAAATGTTATTTTTTTTTGACAGAGATGAAGCTCAGATGATATTCCATAAAAATTATTTTTCCTCGAGTTATGAATAATCATGAGATTAAGCTTGTCCAGCAATTCAATGGAAATTTATGATGTGGTAAAATAAAAGTTTTAGATCTAGATGCATAAGTTTGGATATGTTTTCTATAATTTTAATGCTACATGTGTGTTTTGCGATTCAATCTACATGATTAATGCTGAATTGAAGTTTGTAATCCAATTTGTCGACATTTGTTTTAAGTTTATCATTTTTTCTTGGATTTTGAGGTTGTTTGGACAGGAAATGACTAAAGTTATCTCAATCCTTGGCACATTAGGAGGAAGGGAGTAAATATTGGGTGTTATAGATTCCATTCTGGTCAATCTCCTGTTTTAAACGTCAACAATGCTCCAGTCTCTCAAAATCAAGTCAATCACTTAACCAACAATTCAAACCAACTTGTTATGAGCAAATTCTCAAATGCCATTCCACAAGAAAGCCTTTCCGTCATCTGACAAATGCCATGATGCATTCACATCATCAAATTATGCATCAACATGATTTTCAGCTCATGTCACGAGTAAATATAAAATTTAACTAATTTAAGCTTACATAAACACATCAGAAAATATATCAAAACATATGTCTTGTAATAAGTTGCAAAGTTACTGACAGTTAACTTTGCATTTTGCATGAACGTCATTTTACAAAATGCTATGCAGAAGTCAATTATGCTTTCTTCATTTCAACATTATTCAATGGATGTGAAAGCCATACAACGATGCAATATGTCTAGAAGAAAGTAAAGAAGATGTTTTACTAGATCTAAAAATTATTCTCTAATTATTTCAAATTTTATGCACAACGATGCATAAATTACAGTCATGACAATGAAAACAAACATCATAGAAATTATATTTCCCTTTAATTTACATCTTTAGACCGGAAGATTTGCATCGAATTCGTGTGGAACATATGGAACGTCAATTGGCAAACTTAACAGGTCTCGTACAGAAAGCATTAGTCCAAAATCCTCAAATGAGTTCACCACAACCGAGTTACATCCAACCGGCACCAGGACCATACCGAAATGGTAAGTTGAATGAAGCTAGTTTTAATGTCTCGTTAAATTTCTCATTTCACACATATTTATCGATAATGTAATTAATTAACATAGCAATATGCAGTAGATAGTCAACATTTTATCTTTTATTTTCGTAGACTAATTTAATGGAAAATAACAAAAAATAATTCACCGAATCATTGAGTAACAATTTATGCTATGTACTAGATAACATTAAATATCATTAATAGAAGGTCACACAAAAAATAAAATAACATGTCGTGTATTATGTTTCGTATTGTTGGCTCGAAAAGATAAAGAAATAAGAACTAAATGAGAATGAATGACGAAAAGAATAAGCAAGCAATAATTAGGGGTTTGGTGAACCCCAAAATGTCACTCGTAAATTAATTTGTGTGAAATCGGTATGCTTGTATATTTCATTTGATATTCTACTATAAATTTGCATGCTGTTAAAGATTACAAAAGAAATTTTTGAGGTTATGTAACATGAAATGTGAGCTTACAGAAGTGATAGCTGGAGATTTAAAATGTTTTTTCAGGAATTGTCACAAATTAACCTTAGGATGGTTGATAGATGTGATTTTCTGAATCCAGACAAGAATAATGTGTGTAGGGCCCAGCCTTTTAGCTGGAGGCACTGCGATTCAAATTAGAATAGAATCTATTGTACCACACCCTAATCCAGACAAGAGTATGACATAGTTTCTTTAATTATTCAATTGGGAAACGAACCTTCATCCTGAACACTTCCGGTCACATATTCTTATCACTAAGCTCTTACAAAATATCACATTTAAAGATTTATCAATCTTTAACAGCTTATTGCCTCCCTCAAAAATTCAATTTAAATGTGAATGACTTAAATCCTTATACAGTTTAACTCCAATGCTGTCAAAACACGCATACCGATGCTCACACAAATGCTTCGATTCAAAATGTTCGCAATTTAGTTTCTTCTGCTTTTTTATTTGAATTTGAAATCCATTATTTTGCAATAATTTTGCCGTATTTAGTAACTTACAGAAAAAAAGACAAAAATCTGCAAACATTTGAAAATGAAATGAAAAAAACAACAAACAAAAAAAAAGTCGCTTTTGTGTGTATGATTTTCACGTAGTTTGCTTTAGATCTGAAGCGTGTACAATGATTTGTTTTTAATAGTTAATTGAAGTATCCATATTTGTAAATTATATATAGTTTTCTTTTTGCGACATGACATAAAAGAAATCATAAAATGTTTATGACACTTGGTTTCTTTGAATCAACAATTTGCGTGTAGATTTGATGCAAGTTTTATTAGTTATGAATGTTGAAATCATCTGAGATATGTCCAAGATGTAGTTAATATGGCATTTGAGCACAAATATTGTGAACTTTAAGTAGATATGTCATAAAAATGACTTTAGGTATGGAATTTAATCTCCAAGTTTAAATAGCAGGTGGTCTTGGCCTTGAATATTGGATTGCTAGTTATAGCAAGTAGCTTTTGGTATGAAGATAATATTGAATGTCTTAAAGTATTGTTGCTTACTTAAATTTAATCTGAAAACTACTCTTAAGCATTAGTTCAATCAATTTTGGTTAAAATGTTATCAAGTTTAGATCAGCAACTAGTCTTACAGCTTGTAAATAAAACTTTTTTACGTCTACACATTCCAAAGATATCAATAAAGTCATAAACATGTCATAATATCATCAGAAACATTTAAAATAAAACCATTCAAAATTCGCAATCTTAAGGATATTGAAGACTGAAAGAAGATGGAAATTTGATGCTGAAAAACAAATTTGTTTTGCTTTTTAACATGCTCATGGTAATGAATAATTATTATCAAACATTATACTCAATAAATTGTGTTTGCATTATACTCAAACAAATGCATTATTGTCAGAGAATCCATTGAATGATATTGATGAAAATTTTGAGAAGATTGAATGCATAATCATCACATGCATGTTGTCATACAAAAGAAATTCAATACATCCATCCATGTGCATATAAAGTAAAATATACAAAGTGATTGAATTGAAATTTAATGGGATTTAAAGTGTCTAGAATTGGAACAATGATTCATGCAAATAACATTCCATTCATCATCTTAAATATAAAGCTGGTAAATTGAAATTGAGTGTAAGCTTTAAATTTGGGTCAACTTTGTGGCCAAAGGAAGTTTCAATTTGTATTACTGACAAAATATTAAGTGTGGTTTTGGAGAATCCAGTTGACAGAGCAAATTTAGAAGATAAAGGAGATTTTAAATTGCTTTTTGGGTTATAATATGTGGTTATAAGGTGTTTTAATTAAGTGATGAATTGGAGCTTCCAATGATGATGCAAACTCACACTCTAGTAAATTAAATTCACAAACTGGAAGTATTGAAAATATTGACGAAGCCACAAAAACATGTTCATAACATATTTCATCAGAAAATTATAAAATAAGAAAAGCGAACAGAAATTTACGGAAATCGTTCATAAATAGCGTCTTAAAAAGAGTTGAGAGGAGAATGGTGCCACGGCATTAAGTTTTATAACATTCTGAAATTTTATCAGAATAACTGACAACCTCAAATTAAGATAAAAGACTTTTAGAGTCTGTCTCTGCATGGAAGCATAAGCCAAGATATTCTGAGCTTGGACGTGCCCTTCGAGAGGAGTTTAGATTATTTTTTATACAACTGCAAATGTTTTTTTCTTCCAAAATTCAAAGTTAATTCAAAGTAACTTTCATCCCTAGTCGCTAAGTTTTAAACTAAGCTCATACTAGGATATATGACCAGCATATGCCATAAAATAAATCAAAGATAAACTGAACCCAGTCATAGACTCTCAAACGTCATCCACATTAAACCTAGACGTCATTTCCGAAAGATTCCCCTCTCCGAAAAAGCCTTTTCCAAAGAATTCTCAAATATCAACAAATTTGTGTTTACCAACAAAAACATGTAGATCAAATAATTCAAGCTCTTGCATAAAATTTCCATCTTCTTTCTTCATTGAGGCATCATATTTATATTTTCATCATATTTTGTGTGTAAATTTTTTTTAAAAAAATATTTTCTCATGCAAAAAAAAAATCATATGTATACATCCAAAAAAAAGCTCCCCTTCTCCATTACTATTAATAACAATTTGTACAAATATTAAATTTACATAATCATGATGATGACTTTTCAAAAAATATGAAAAAATAAATACTGTTGAGGGATAAATAAATAGTTACAGAATCATTTGCTGATTCATCATAGCTTTGAGTATATGAATGAGATTGGAATTCGCTTGATTTTAATCTCTGAATGTCTTTTTTTATTGTTATTTTTTACTTGCTTAAAAAGTTTGATTATTGACATTGAAATTTTAAAAAAAAACTCAATTTTACAAAATAAAGATAAAGCTTTTAATATTATTTTTGATTCTTTTTTACGCAAAATATATGTGTAGACTATGCATTAATTCATTTAAAAAGAATATTCTGAAGTGAAATTTAATTATTAAATTGAAAATGGGTGGAAACTTGGAAAGTATTTGAGTTGGTTCATATCGAAATTAAGTGTGATTAGAAAATTCTTAAATATTTGATTGTCGTAGCTTAGCACCCTTGAAATCTTTAATTGTGGCATTATTAAGAGTCCAGTACCGCTGGATGTTCTAGCTGGATTCTAGAAGCTCCCATTTACTTTCCCAATTACTAATTTAAAGTTTAATAAAGTCTCTGTCACATGTTTTTTGTGCGTAGTTGCACACCCCTTTTTTATAAAAATCATTTTTTTCGATTTTATAAGATATGACCTTCAAATATAATTCCTGGGATCCTTGCTTCTTGTTTAAAACATCTAAAATCCACATAACTGATAATGCGATTTGAACCTTTGTAGTTCGAATATTTGTGACCAAAACCTTCTCAACTGAGCTATCAAAGCTATAAAACTTCATTTAGTCAACCAACTTGTCTACACAACCTTACAGTTTCCACCCTTTGAATTATTCCATTAAAATCAAACAACATTTTTCCGGGTAGCTCAAAAATCTACTTTTACGTTTAATTGCTAAGACAACAAACTTATTTTTACAAACAAAACCAATTTTACTAAAATATAAAGTTATCTACAAACTTTTTTTTTCTATGCTTATTTTTGTTCTTTTTTTGTCCCGACCACAAAAAAAATTATCGATCATGAAAATAAAAAATATTTTTGAATAAAATAAAGCAAACAGTACGATGGATGACTTGTATGTAAGAGAGAAACCACCAAAGTTAGGGAAATCTTCATGTCGTAAGTTTCCTTTCTCCAAGTTTATCATTGTCTTGCGTCATTCATTTCCTGTATATATTTCTTTTTTTTATTCTCTTGGCATTCTTCTTCTTTATTCAAATTGTCTTCTTAGTTTTGTGTGAATTTATTGCATGCTGGCTTTATATTATGTACAATATTTTATTTATTTTGGAATTTTATGATAAATAGCCATTTTATTGTAGACGTTTTTATTTGATAGTCATAAGCACATTTGATGATAACAATGAGATTTTATTTTGGGTCCTGCAAGAGAGAATTGCATGGAATTTGGTACTGTATGACTTTAACAAGCATAGGTTTAGTTTAATTCATGATTTTATGTTAATTCTGAAGGTAAACAACTCTATGCCTTACTATGAAACTTAAGAAAGCTTGCTCATCAAAGCTTTTCATATTAAGGATCCATAATATAACTATGTAGATGACAAAAAGCATCCCAAAAGTACCAAAATATTTTCTCATTTTGATATACTCAACTGTTCAATTCAGCTACAATCTAATAAATTTTTATGAGTTCAAGTGCCTCATTGACATCTCCAAAGTGCTGAATAAATTCTCATCTAAAAATCATCAAATGTATTACAATCAGCAAATGTGCTTATGCTGTCGAGAGCTGTTAAATTTAATGCTATGTATGTGTTTCTAAAAATATTCAGCCACGGTCATGCGTGGATCTTAAAAAAGAACAGAAAAAAATACCAAAGTTAAAAATGAAATAAAAAAAACTTAAATTTATGCTTGCTTCTTCTACTATGAATTTGTATGAAATTTTTCTCTCTCCATTCCTTCCCAATTTACCTCCAAACTTATTAATCTACAATATCCCGCAATCTGAAGTATTATTTTTCATTCTTGAATAAATAAATGATTTTTCGAGTACATATCATAATTTTTACAAATTGTTTCAACAAACAATTGTACATAATGTATCATATTAAGCACTCGTGTACAATGTCATCGATATTTTATCATATTAATGAGCTAGGGATGGACATGATTGAAGATAAATGTAAATAGATATGAGTTGATAGGCTTGGTTAAATGGTTGCGGTGGAAAAGTATAAAATTTTATAGTCAAGTGGTGGAATAGAATTACAAATTGAGTGCAGCATTTTGTGCTTAATGTCAATTTGTAATTATTTGGGTCAAATTTTGATTAATTTTCAAGCTATTTGGACAGGAACATAGCATAGGATCATAGCTGCTCGTTTTATGCATAGCAAGGCTAATGATAGTTTGACGAAAGTTTATAGTGGGATCTAAGCCACTCCTCTGATGACATTTCTGCCTGTAGCCTACAAAGAAAGGCTATGAGCCTCATTTCCAGTACATATGAATCGAAAAAGGACAAGTGAAAATTTTCCCATGCCGAGTCTTGAACCCATGATCGCTGTGTCAGTATTGCAATAATTTGGTACCGAAGTACTAAACCATTCTGCCACCGAGCAACTTCAGTTCACTAAGCTACCCTTACAAAACCAAAACTTGCCTTTGTTTAATTTGGATCAGGCGCGTAGCAAGGGGGGCGGTGAGGGGGGGGGGATTTTTATGGACAAATCCCCTTTCATCTTGAACAATTGCTTCATTTTGCTAGAGTTTTTATGAAAAACTCGAAAAAGTCCCCCCCGTCCCTGATTTGGATTGATATTCTGATACCACCTAGGGACATTCGGGCAAGGCTCTGCTCATAACCCTCAACTCATTAATAAAAAGTGATAAAATAAGTTCATCATCATTAAAACATATTGAAAATGCTCAACCATGTGTCAAACTCTTGCCAACAACACAAAATATCAAACTTTCATGAATAAAATCCAGCAATACAATTAAAAAGATTTAATTTCATTCATAAAATATGATACACATTCCGAAACTCCTCAAAATGTCAGAAAAAAAAACTCATTAATTATTCAAAAAAATATTATTTAGAAAGCACATAATTCCATAAAAGCATAAAAAATCCAAATAATCACATATATCCTTTTTACACATGCATAACTCACTTGTTTTCATTTCTTAAGTCATTTTTTGTACAATTTAAATGAAATATTAGGAAAAATCCTGTAAAATATGGCAACAAAAAATTCCCTCAACTTCCTTCTATAGTAAATGAATATGAATATGCAGGGGATGTAGCCAGGGGGTTTGAGATTATTATCTTAAAAAACCGTTGAAAATTTAAGAAATCTCCAATTGACCTCTGGCTACATCCCTGTGAATATGTATATATTTATGTCATCCTTGTAATATTTAAGTGCCTAAGCATCTCTCCTTACTTGTATATATACCTCTCTATTTTATTAACATTACACTTTATTATTTATGCATTTATCTAAATTACATAAATTTATATAACATCCAACCCATCATATCTACTTCTCATCTATTCCATTTTTTCTCTTTTTCCCCAAAATTTTCATTTTCATTATTTTCAGATAAATCAGTTTCATTCGAGAAGTCTGTATCATTTAGTGATGACATTCAAGGCGTTCCGAAGGCTCACAGTCCACAACATATGGGTAAATCTTTATCATTAAAAATAACGTCAGTGTGATTTATGGATGGAGTGTAACATTTGTCTTCTTTCTTATGTATATTATTCATTATCCCTTCCTTTGTGGCTTGCTTCTTTACCACTTTAATCTTTCCTTATTTTTTGCGAGAAAACTTTTGTAATGAAAATTTTTTTTCATGATTTTATGAACGGATATTGGAAATTTTATGAGATCGATTCTTGGAAATTGTCGTCTTTAAGAATATGTTCAATCAAGGTACCGTCGTTAGTAAAGCAGAAAAAAAATATGGTTTTCCGGTTGCCAACCTTTAGAATTCTTAACGGACCACCTACATTAATATGTATTGTAGCTTAATATTTGTATTATAATGGTTTGATTTAGGACTATTTGGAAGCATTTTATTGAATATTTGAGGACGATCCATGACAAACATCAATTTTGAATTTTTGCTAATATATATTAAATCTCTCCAGGGGTGGCAAACGGTCCTTTTTTCTGTATTTAGAAATTTAAAGGTACCTTACTTCTCGTTAAAATTCAAAATTTGAATTTCTAAACGCACGCCATAAAAATATATTTTTTGGAAAATTCACATTTTATCAATTAATTGACGGCCTAAAATGGCTCCAGAAAAGTAAATCATAATGACTAAAGCTTAATCAAGCTTTTAATAATCATACTGTGGCAACCTGAGTGTCGAATTCCTTCGACACTCAGTGTCGAAGGATTTAAAAATGTCGAAGGAAAGTCGAAATTTTAAATTTTTTTTGACCGTTGAAAAAAATCAAAAAATAAAAGTAAACAAATAAAAATTTCAGTCATAATTTAATCAATTTTGATATTTTAAAGTATTTGAAAACATATTTGATGATTTTCTTCAAAAATTTATAACTTTAAGATTAAAATTATCACACGAAGTAAAATTTGTCCATAAGAAGCAAAAATTCGCATCAAAATTCTCTTAGATTTTCTGTTATAACAAAATGAATCAAATAAAATTTTAAAAATATGCAAAATTGTTAAAACATGTCTAATTCGTGATTTTACTTTAGATTTCCAAAGTTTATTTTAGAATTAGTATTTTAACGGTTTTTTAGAATTTAAATGTTTAACGGTATTTTTTTTTCAAATAAAAAATAACGGTCCTTTTCGACATTGCCACAGTATGTTAATAATATTCTAAACATAGATTAAGTTGTAATCAAGGTAATATTTAACAAACATATTAAATGTTTAATTTTGGAAAATGTTTGATAGTGTTAGTGTGGATTCAAATGTTTTCCACTTTAACGGCAAAAATTCTGTTCACCACCCCTGGAAATCTCAATAAAAACTCTTAATTGAAAAAAATAGAATCTCAAAAATATTTCAACTTTCGTTCAAAAAATACACAGTAATTTTAAAAACTTAAGTCAAATGTTCAGCAATCAGCCTGAAAATTCATTAAATTAGGAAACTTAACATCCTCCAGATTATAATGTGTCATAAAAATTCGAAATCTCGATCATTTCTGTCCATTTTACTTAAAAAATTGATAACTTTAATTTCTACATAAAATAAATCTGAATCAAAGGACTGAAAATAGCGGAAATCGCAAACGCGTGCTTAGTATTAACTTTCAAAAAAAAAAATAATAAATTAATCCTAATTTGCTTATTGCTCAGTATTAGATTTATGTTATATCTGACAATCATGTCTCTTTAATTTCACGGACAATTTATTGCTAAAAATTGTACTTAATGACATCGAATCTCGTTTTCTTTTGTTTCTTTCTCTTTCACATAAACTTGACTTAGACATGCTTGAGAGAAACTCTTTCTTTTCTACTTACTTATTGTGAGACAAAAAAAAATTATTTTAATTATATTTTATGAAACAAAAGTTGTACAAAAGTCTCTGCTTCTTATTCCTTATCTCCTTTAGTTCCTTACAAGACATTTTTATGATTTTTTATTTCTAATTTATTTATTTATTAATAGTAAATTTTATTTATATTAAAAACAGAGAAACTTAAATAAAATTATGAACTCACAGAAATTTAAAACTTTTTATTGTGTTTTTACTTGTTTTTTACTCACAATTTTGTTGTTTTTCTTTACCTTATGTTTATTTTGCTTCTTATTTTCTTTCGAGGGAAAATTCAGCTTCTAAATTATATTTTGCTGGTTATAATTTGGTCTTGTTGATGTACTGTATATAGGTATAGACTATGTACATCCATGAGAAACTTTAAATTGAATTTGTCGCTAGCTTGTGAACAATATTAATTTATTTGAATTTGTATTTATTAACGTCCTTGTTTGAAATGATCTGAAAATCATTGAAAAATCTTTTATGTTGAAAGTTAAAATTTTCAAAAAATCGAAAAGTTTGAAAAATGTGAATAATTTGAAAAATGTGAAAAATTTAAAAATTTGAATTACAAATTTGAAAAATTTAAAAATTTGAACAATGAAAAATTTGAATTAGAAATTTCAAAAATTTAAAAATCAAAAAATATAAAAATAAAAAGTTTTAAAATTCAAAAAGCTTAAAATTAAAAGCTTTAGAACTTTAACTTTTGAACAAGAACTTTTACAAACTTTATTATTATTGATTTTCTGTTGGAAATTAAAATTTCATCCGTCAATTAAAGTAAATAATTTAACAACCAGAATAAATTACAGAAAATTGTAAAATTTTCCATCTGAACAGCTCCGAATGTAACACAATAATTGGCAATAAGCTAATGTTCACAAAAAGCTAGTGATTAATTTAATTTGTTATGATTTTTCCACAAAATGCTAATTCCTCATGCATGCATACATTTATTCCATAAATTGTGTATTCACCAAAAAAATGAGTGTGATATGCTAATTGGGTGGAATTGAGTTGCTAAATGCTCTCAAATGCATTTTACTAATCTCATTAACTTATTCCTATAAATGACAGCCGACTCAAAACCACCTAAGCCCGCAATTAAATCGTCAACATTGCCAAGAACTTCATCGCAAGGTAATGAAACAAACAAATTTAATGCTTAAAAGTTTTTTAACTAACATTTTCTCACAATTCGCTTGAATTAATTATAAATTTTGAAAAAAAATTAAATTTGGAAATATTTAAACATAAAAAAATACATTTCTAATGTTTAAAGCAGAACGCGACAGATTAAAACCTGCACCGCCCCTAAAGCAAAACTCGTTAACAAATCAATATCAGCATCTGACACTGGCACCGGAAGTCTATAATCATTTGAGAGGATTACAAAAGAAAACAAAAGATTTAAAATCAGAAGTTAAAACATTAAGACGCCTTGCACAATCGCAAGCTATTGCTGTACGTGAAGATATTAAGGATACGTTTATGAGAATTCGAGCGACTTTATTAGCAACGAGTGGTAGTCATTTTGGACAAAATGATCAGGAGCGGGTGAGTTTTGATGTGGATTAGATTGATTGGCGTGTTTGAAAATTATTTTGAGGGGAGTTTATTTTTAAAATTGATTCTAGTGATATTCAAACATTTTCCCACCCTTGAAATAACATTTTCCTACCCCTTGAAATAACATTTTCCTACCCCTTGAAAAAACATTTTCCTAACCCTAGAAATAACATTTTCCTACCCCTTGAAATAACATTTTCCTACCCTTTGAATGACATTTTCTCACCCCTTGAAAATACTTTTCGCATTTCCTATTGATTTTTATGCAAAAACTTTTTTCACTCCCCTCAAAAAAATATTTAGACAAGAATTTCTCGCGAAGAAGAAATTTACAAGCAAGAAGTCATCAGATTAGAAAAAGATTTGGCGGATTTGGAAGGGTCAGTGGAGGTTTTACGAGGCGAGGTCATTAATAGACGAACAAGAGTAAATATGGCAGCTGTAGAGGACATGGCTCTTGTATTAAGTCGTGCGAGGTAACATAAAGAAGACAACAAAAGTCTCATTTATTGCGTCAGTAACTTATTTTTATGATTATTGCAGTAAAACCGTTGCCGAACTCAAAATGAGATTTCCAGGCTTACAACAAAATTTGCGCAATATTTTATCCACCGAAATGGATCGAGTGTGTCGTGAGGAGAAGTTCCTTAAAGAAGAACCCGATAGACTTGAGATTGCATTGCGTCGCTGCAAAAAGTTAACAGGAACTTTAGTTACATTGAAACGGTGAGTTTGTGAGAAGATTTATATTTAAGCATTGAATGATTGATGATGTTTGGAGCTACGCTAAATTGTCTGTAATGAAGAAAGTTGGCGTCGAAATTTCCCAACGATAATTGCTTACACACGCCACAAAATTAGTCTTCAAACTTAACTCAATTAATCTTCACCAATTTTCTCATTAAATAATTGACTGTATAAAAGAAAGTAGGAACGATTATTTCCTTTGTTTGGGGGAAATATAAACTTTTAGTCGGTGGTGGATGGTTAAGAAATGGATCAATAATCAAAGAGAAAAAGTTTATCGTAGAGATGAGGTTTGGCTGGCTTGGGTTGATAGTATCTTGAGGATTTTAATGTATACTCCACTTGAAACTCCGAATTTCGTTCCAGCATAGTGGACAAATGGTTTTCAAACCACAGCATAAGTCTGTAGCAGGGGCGTAGCCAGAAAATTTTTAAGTGGGGGGGCCCATTTTCGAAAATTAAAAAACCGTTATTTTGTATCCTTAAATCTATATTCATTTTATAAATTAAATATTTAATTCATTATTCATACATTAAATTTAATTTTTTGTGCTGATTTTGACATTTCTTTCATCACTTCCTATACATTAATTGGTTCTTCTCTATAAATATTTAATAAAACAATTATTAGATTTTCGTAGGGGGGGGCCGGGCCCCCTATGCCCCCCCCCCCCTTGGCTACGCCCCTGGTCTGTAGATTAAGCTGGCTTATGTTGATGGATGTACTTTTGTGATTGGAGTTCTATTAAAGAAGCTAGATCACATGCCATTTTCATAGCTGTGTATCAAACATCAGTAAGCCTATTCGTTGCTAGAATCATCCCGTTAGGAAGACATCACGTCGCTTACATTTCTATTTGAAATCTTCAATCTCTAAAACCTTTAAAAGTCAATAATAATTGCAATTTCAATTACATTCCAGCCTCGCGAGTGTCCAAGAGCAACGAACTTGTGTAGATCCAGCACAACCAACAGAAGAATCGTCCCCACGATCAGCATCTGAATCATCAAGCAACACAAATAAGGTAGGTGACACCAAACTTCCAGTTCCCTTTATATTTTCTTTTGCAAGAAAACTTTTATCTCTTAATTTACTTAACACATTTAAAAAAATATTAAAATTAATTAATTAACAAATGAAACACAATCAATTAAATGAGTGACTTAAACTAAATGAAACGAATTATGTAATTTAATTTTTGTATATTATACTTGTAAAGGATTGCCGAGCGTAACACAAAAGAAATACGACAGTTATTAATTGAATTCGTGGCCATTTAAGGAAGATTTAATTAATTTGATTTTTCAATTTTTTATGCCTATAAATTTATTATAAACCCATTTGAATTCGAAAATTTATAAAAATTTCATAAAAACTTTACGTTCATTAATTTATCATTTTAATCAGCATCAGAATTGATTTAATTTTTTGTTTTTAATTTCAAAATCCACGTCTCAATTTCATTATCATCCATAAAAATATTTTGTATTATTTCAATCCACCCACAAAATTAATAATTAATAGAGCTTAATATAAAAAAGAGATTTTCAATTGACAAATAAAAAAAAATTATAATTTTAAGTTCCTTTTTTAATGTAGAATGAAAAATCAGCACCAGCTGCGGTAATGATGAAAAATAGAAATTTCATGTCGAGGGAGCGAAAATTTCTGTCACTTTAATTTCTTTAAATTTTTTTTCATTTACTTTGCTGGCGTTTCTCTCGAATTAATGACAGAATTTAAACAAATTCCAGAGTGCAAAATTAATTTTTGAGCGGATTTACGTTAAATTTATGATATTTTCTTGACTATTATGCAAGACTGGATTAGTTTTACTTTCTTTAAGATCTTCTGTAACAGTAGCATCAGGTTTTTATGGCATCTGAGCGTGATTCTTTCTATTTTACATTTAATGCTAAGAGTGTGGAACTGATCAAACTGTTTTTTAACGTAAACGCCTAAAGTTCCTTTAAATCTTTAAGGGTAATTCCATGAGAAATTTTTGTAAATTTTTTTCATATTTAGGCTTTACAAAAGTTAATAAGATTTTCACAGTGCATGTAAAAAGTCATATGGTATATGATTTGACATTAATTTTCTATCTAAAGTGGTTAATTCGTCCAAAAAATTGATTCCATGAGCGTTACTTTGTAACGCTATAAATGTTACCAAGTAACGCTATAAAATATAATTTTTTGGACGAATTAACCACTTTAAATAGAAAATTAATGTCAAATCATATACCATATGACTTTTTACATGTCCTGTGGAAATCTTATTAACTTTTGTAAAGCCTAAGGATGAAAAAAATCAATTTAAAGAAAATTTTATAGCAAAATTATAGCATGGAATTACCCTTAAATAAAAAATTTTGAACTTCAAATTACTATTAAAATTGGATTTGCAATCCCTTGACCATATTTTCTCAAAGCTTTTATCCTTAACAGACAAATAACATAGTTGGTAGCCGTTGGTAGAATTGAGTTCGACTGATTCACATAAACTTAGTACCTTAAAGCAAGCTCTTTGTCTATTAAGATTCAGAAGTTGCTTCAATAATTCATTTTTGTGATGAAATTCTTCTACTTCTTACTTCCTTGGCTGGGACGCACGTGAACCCATTGGCGCGCTTAGAGAATGTCTAAAGAAAGCTCTATCCATCGACACTTTCTGTCAGTTTTGGATATTCAGGACTCTAGCGTCCTTTTCAACACAACCAATCCAAGAGTTCTTCGGTCATAATGAAAAAACGATGACTTATTGCCATAAATATAAGATTCCACATTCCTAAAGCTTCACATTAAAAGATCAAGCTCTTTTAAATTAAATTGATCGAGAGAAATGCTGACAAAACTTTTTGACTTTTGTAAAGATTCGAATTCTTAATTAAACCAGCCAGAATCATTAAAGTTATTAAAGACTGCCTTCAAGCCTCTCTAAAACAAAGCAAATTGAGTTATCTAGCACAAGGTCAAATTATCTTCTAATTTATTGTATAATTTAATTTATTACTTAAAAAAAATTTAAGCACAAACTTAATAAAAGCTTTTTAAAAAAATGCCAATTTAAATTCCCCCGTCCCCAAAAAAAACTTTGAAAATTTGATGAGAATTGCATACAATTGTCACTTCAAATGGATGGCAATTAGAGACATTTACAATTTTTTTTTATTATGCTGAACATCGTTGATGAGAATGAGATTTTTTTGTGCGCTGGCATTTGTTAACATTTGAAATGACAAGAGAAGAATTGCAATTATCACAACACACAAAAAAAAATCTATGCTGTGCCATTTTAATGAAGTGTAAACTTCTCTCTCTATCTCTCTTCTCTCTCTTCTATTATTTTGCTTAACAGTTCAACTGGCGATGGTCTGCAAATTTCAAAGAGGCGATACATGAGTAATTGCTTTAGAGAAAAAAAAATCAGTAGATGAATAAATATATGAAAAAAAAAAATCAGGAACTACGTAAAAAAAATCAGGAACTACGTAAAAAAAATTTTGTACCTCCTTTTTGATAAAAAAAAAGATTTTTAATTGCCAAGAAAAATCCTCGAATTAAAAAAAAACTGATTTTGAAGTCCCTACATAAGCACAAAAAAAATCGTTTTTTAAATCAAATTTAGCAATTTTCAAAAAGCAACAAAAAATTTAAGTCTCTAGAGATCAAATTGATGATGAGAAAGAAAAACGTAATTTTTAATTAACTCTTTTGGATTTTTTTTTTTCTTCTTCCTTCTTCTTATTCTTTATTCGAATTCTTCTAATCTCTCCTTTTATTGCTATTTTAATTTTTATTGTGATTAAAATTTCAACACATATTTTCTATTGAGTTGAAGGATGTGAGGTGGTTTTTTAATCTATAAAATCTGTAGTAAGGCTTTAATGAGGATATTGTCTGAGGGAAATTTAAAGTTTGTGATTCAATAGATTTAGAATCAAGGCAGATGATAGAAATATTTTATATGTCAAACCTGCTAGTTTGCTGAACTACTGACTCAGTCACAATCAATTCTTATTTATGCTACACAGATTTTCGATTCTTAGGTACAGAAGACTTAGAAACCCTGTCAAGCCATTGTTTAAGTTTGAAACTGACGAGAAGTTCATAGATTAAAGACTTACAGATCTTGCTGGTCGTAAAAATAATGTAAGATTTCTAACCTACCTTTGCAATCATTTATAGCTATAGCTTAACTCATTTATAGATATGAGGAATAAAGTTTCCCAATAATTACAATGCAATACAGCCATTGCGCTGCTCTGGCTTAATTAGAATGAATAAAGTAATAATAATAGTAATAGTAATAATAATAATAGCTAAACCTATCGACTTCAAGCTCTGCTGATTACTCATACTAAGGCTATGTGATATGTTTAATCTTCCTGAATGACACAAGTCAGTTAAACGATCAGAAATCTGGCACCGAACCGATGTGACTCTGCATTGTGCTAGATTTAAACCGAAGCCAGCACCATTCTAGTGTCATGCAGGCTTAGCAACGGATTTCTATTTTATTAACCGATTTGTGCCATTCTCGCTTATTACAAAACTATATTGTCTTCTACAAAGTCAGATTTAGGGCTTTCAGGTCATTTACTGAACCAAAAAAATTGAGAAGCAAGCTCTAATCACAAGAACCCTCTTGAATTTTCAATTATCATATTTAAAAAAATCTCATCTTATTCTATTTCAAGTGAACTTATAAAGTTATGAAAATTTATTCGAAGCCTCAAAAATGCTAATTACTTTGTATTTTTCTCAACGAACAAAAAAAAAACGGAACTAATCCTTTGGAGATTGTCTAAGTTGTTTAAACAAAAAAAAGTACATAGCCATGAGCATTAGTTCATTCTAAATTCCTTGTTATTTGTTCGTACAAAATGTTTGTAAAGTATATAAAGTAAGAACAAGAACTACGCAGTACATTAGATAATGAAACGATGATATAAAAAGTAGAAACTAGACTAACAAAAAGAACAGCATAAATCACATGGGAATTTTACAATTTTTCACAACAACTTCATTTCGTTGAAAGCTTAAAGGCATGCTTGCTTTAATGGGTAAATTTACTCAGATTATATCCTCATATAGCAACAAGTATAAAGACTAGCTTACATTCTTTAATTCTACGACACCAAATAATAATTTATCTTCAAATCTTTATATGACTGATTTCTGGATCTGATTGGAAATGTCTATAAATGTTTTCTTTTCCTTACTACTTTATTTAAAAATTATTTATTATTATTTCCAATTGTCACTTTATTATGGTTCCGATTTTATTTTTGACAGATTGGAAAGAAAGTTTTTTGAGATGTTTTTACTTCGAGTTTCTTTACCCCATTAAGTCCTTGACAAAAACGCAGAAATGGGAGAAATTTTAATCAAAAAAGTTTAGAGAATGAAAAATGGAACGAGAAGGAAAAAAGTTTTGAGTTTTGACTTGAATCTGCTGGTTTTAATGAGGGATTGTTTGAATTCTGAGATAATGATAAATATTTGACTTTAAGGAGAGTTTTGCTTTAGATTTGAAGGTTGTCGGACATCCTAAAGGAATTCTTAGTTTGAATTTAAAATTGAAAGCTATTTTGTAAGTTTTATGGAATATGAATTGATCAAATTGATCTCAAATAATATTTTCGGGTAGTCAAGCTACGTTTCTGATTCTCCATTGATAATCCATCAACATAAGACATGGGGCTTGTTTATAAATGCTGTCTTTTTTGCTAGGAGAAATTCAGTTCTGAGCAAATTCAAATTTTTTGATTAAAATTTCATCCTAATTCTGCAAAACTTCCTCTTAAAGCAACATTTATCTGATTCGTAATCCCAATTTGCAACTAAATTTAATTCAAAATTCTTATTTGATATTGCAGACATGAACGAAAATTTTTTAATTAACTTCACCTGTTTTTCTTTGTAATTTATTTTAATTAATTATAAAATTTTGGAAATACGGCACATGCATTGGCAAATGAGCTCATTATTTTTAACTCTTTAATGACACAAAGCATCTTTCCTTTTGGGCACAAAAAAAGTTTTTTTTTTCTTCTTTCTCTACCCTCCAAATATTTTTGTAAACCCCACAAATCCACATGAGAATTTTAATACTTCACAAATTATAAGACAAAACAAAAAAAAGCATTTTCTGTCCCTCTTTTCATGATTCTTTTTTTTTTCATAAACATGAATGTGCGAGACTTTTTTCATGTTTATTTCCCTTTTATAACATAAATTCCACTTTATGTGTGATTGTGTGTATGTTTTTGAAAATAAAATGTTTAATTATTCTCACAAGAACCTACATTATACAGGAATTCATATTTGAAAAGAAAACTTTTCCGCAAGCACATTGAAATGATAATTGTGGAGCTTTTGAACAAAAAATAAACTTTCTGCATATTAATGCATTTATATGACTTCTATTGGATGTTCTTTAAACAGTATACTGAGAAATTAGTCAAATTTTGGAGTATTGAGCTTTCTAAATAAATATACAACCAGTTTTGAGAAGCTTAAAGGCTAATTTCAAAAAATTTTACGTTAAATATTCAAATTTCATATAACATGAATGATGGCTTCATTACCAACATTCAAAAAATGGTCGTTAAATAATTTCAAACTTCCAAAAGCACAAATCTAAACTTTTGAGGTTGAAAAGCCAGTTCATTTAGGGGCCTTTCACTTATGACGTCCAGGGGGGGGGGGTCAGCAAGAAAAGAACAATAGAAATTCCTGGAAATTCATTATTCTTTTTTGAAAAATGACCGTTAATTTCGGACGTCATAAGTGAACGACCCCTTAAGAAAGCCTACTTAATTCTTATTACTTTACTGACTTCTTGGCTGGGGCTCATTACCGCGCTTAGAGAACATCTAAAGACAGCTCTATCCTTCGACACCTTCTGCCAGTTCGGGATATTCAGGACTCTAGCGCCATTTTCAACAAAAAAACTAAAATAATGGGGTTACAGCAACTACGAAACAAGTTCTTGTGAAAACAAATTGTCATATTACTCCTGATTTCCTTAATTTAAATCCAAATTTATTTTCTCAAAATTTACCCCCTTCCCCATCGCCCCCAACCACTATCAGTCATGTTTTAACTCTTTGACTAAACTTTCAGATCTCTTATAGTAAGGTTAAAACGTCATTAGCATCAAAATTAATGAAATTGGAAAAACAAAAATGCTTACAAATTCTACAATTAATCAACAAATTTATAAAAGGAAATAATTTTGTGTTCATAATTATCAAAAATCATAAATTCCATCACATTTGTTTTGCATTTCATATTCATCAAATTTATTGATTTTGCTTAATTCATTATATTTGTATTTTGAAATCATTTGCAATCGGATATTATTAATTAACATTATCATTGGCAATATTTATACATTTGTGGTCTCTATGGCGACACTATATTTTGAAATGAACAGCATTTGTGAAGAATTGTTGAAGTATTGTTAAGGATATGATGATTTACGTGACTAATTAGGTGAATATAGTTGCGGTTTTTGAGTTTTGAATAATTAAATGGGAATTGGCTTCACCCTGTCTCTTTGATACCCTTAAGATCGAAATTTTCATTAAAAATGTTCCTAATTCAGGGTAAGAGGGTTTGAAACTGTAAATGAAAACTTCAAACATTATAAATATTGCAAATAAAAGTTTAAAATTTATTATTTCAAAAAAAAACTTTAAAAAGTTTTTGACCCAAAAAAAAGAATTCTGGTGTGACCTTTGAATAGTTGATTTTGACATTAAGGAAGCTTGTTATTATAAGCTATAAAATGAAATTGAAAACTTTTCGAAAGGTTTTTATGGTTTTGTTTTCTCTATAAAAAGAGAATGAAAGAAAGAAAAATTGAAAAATCAAGAACTGGACATAAAAAATGGAAAGTGCTCATTTATTTGAATGTAAAAGAATTTGAGAATTTTTTTTCATTGTTGCACCAAACTGTTATTGTATTTACTCTTTTAGTTCTGATATATGCAAACAAAAAATTAATATATTAACAAAATTTTAACCTTACTATTAGAGCTTGAACTTCTATCTTTTTTACTTTAAATTTAATTTTCATGAAATCTTTAAAATAGCAAAAAAAAAAGTTTGAAATTTAAAGCGAAATATTTTTTTAGAGAAAAGGAGCAAAACGATGTTTTACTGCTATTAAAATATGTTCCTAATGACCTGCTTTTATATTTTCATCTTTATGAATTCCTTCCATTTCCTTTTTATCTCTTATAATTTCTCAATTGCATGATCAAGTCCATTGCATGCCTTAATTTATTAAATTTTTCACTTCCTTATTTCTCAATATTCTCGAAGAATATAATGTAAAAGAATAAATTGTGTAAGAAGTGGAACGAACATCCTCGAGAACATAAAATGCAGAAAATTTTAATTTTTTTTATTTGGCAAAATCGTTTGGAAAATTTTTCTTTTGTAAGAAACTTTTTCATTCTACTTCTTTCAGAACAAAAAGTCTACGAAAGTTTGTGAATCGAAAAGTCATTTCCATTTTGTTCAATTGTAAAGCGGAAATGACTGAAAATTTAACTTTTCTCACACATTTACTGATTTTTTAATGTTTTTTGATTCATTTTTGTTAAGCAATTATTTTCCTATTTCTTCACTATTTTGGAATGAAATGTTCTTAATCGTACATATTTTACAATCATTCAAATTTTTCTTATTTCTTAATGGATATACTGTCAAGATTATTTTTCCATCGGCCTCTTGTTGCAAAATGATTTTTTATGAGAATTGGTCACCATTTTACAATTATTTTTCTAGGATTCAATGTGTTCTTAATGTTTTGGTTGATTCTTTTGGAAATTGAGTCATTTTAACTTGTTAATATGAATGAATTTACCGATTTGGACTGGTTTCATCATAAATACTTTTATAATCGGTTTGTTGTTTTAAATATTCAAAAAACTCAGTTTCAATTTTATTTTAACTGCATATAAGATTGAAAATATAAAGAACTGCTTGAAATTTTCAGAAAACTTTGAATGACTAAAGCATTTATTGAATATAACTTTATCTTTAGATCAACATGTGATGAACATTTTTAAACAAAAATTGTCTTTAAATCATTGAAAAAAATCTCACGATAATGCTCAAGAGCAAGAAACCCTTTTAAGTATTTGAAACTTTAAACTGCTTCAAACATCAAACTCAACTTGAAATATCTCCAGACATCAACTATTTCAATATATCGAAAGCAAAACAAACTTATTTATAAACTTTTCACAACAAAATAAATCAATTTGTCTAGTGCATAGATATTTTGAATAATCGACAAAGTTTAACAGCCAGTGCATTGGAACACATCCAAAAGAATCAACTCAACATTAAATTCAACACTCACAAAAAAAAAATACTGAAAAAGCTCTTTTTTGAAAGTTTATTTCTCAATGTTGGATGTATTTTATTTTACTTTTGCTGAAGCATTTAAAATTTTTTTATAAAAATTTAATTGTTAATAATTATGTCGTATACAAAAAAAAAAGTAATTGGATATAATGAAAATTGGTATCTTAATCATGCTCTATCTCGATCTTTTTCCACCATAATTAGCCGATCCCATCACCACGATTGGGCGGACAAACATCGGTCGGTGGAATCGCTCCTGAAAACGCACTCGATGCTTTGCTAGATGAATTGCAGACATTTGCTAAGCCACCGAATCATATTGATCAACTTCAGGTAGATTTAGTGCTGATTTTGGCAAGTCATGACTAGTTTTAAGTCATACCGACCTCAAAACTGATCTTGTTCAGTTCGATGTTCCAAAAAAGTCATGACTGTCAAAAACTTTTGTAAATCTAATGCTTTTTGAGTTCACTTCAGTTCATTTTTTCCCTTCATTTTTCTTTTTCTGAAAATTAATTTTACTAATTTTTCTTGATTAATTTTCTCAATAGAATCAACAATTATCGCACCAATAATTCACATCCAAATTTCTCTTATTCCGACAGATACGACCCGATGAGTCTACCACATCCGATGACAGTTCACAAACCATGCAAAACACAGTCACAACCAAACTTTCACAATCCCAACTTTACCCAGATCCAGCACACCAATTGCGTCGTCTTCATTCGTATCCATCTGGTTCTGATACAGAAGAATCACCACCACGTCCACCTTTGTCCACAAAACCACCAGTTCCTGAGCGAAATTCAGAACTTTTGTCACGTTATAGCGGTGCTAAAGGACAAAAGAAAGTTCCTCCACCTCCACCTCCAAGAACAAGCTCAAGAAGTCCTTTGGCAAGTCCCACGAGTCCTAGTTTGTCAAATAGATGTATTGTTGATCAGCAACAGCAACAGCATCAGTTAAATCAAGAACAGCAATTTATAAACAACATCAACAACAATAATCAATTCATACAAAATGATCAGGATTCGGGAAGTGAGTCAGCCAATTCACAAGATAACAATTCACAGCGTCAAATGCAACTTGAGCTACGTCATCAAGAACTATTGAAGAAGCAAAAGCAATTACAAGAACAATATCAACGTCTTCAACAAATGAGCAAGAATGCAATTCCATTAGGACATAACGAGAATGTGAAGCGAATGGGAAGTGACACAAATTTAGCACAAAAGCTTGGCAATCTCAAAACAACCGAAAATAATGCTGATAAAGTGAATGATAATGTCCCACAACAAACGACAACTGTAACGACTAATAAAGTTTATGAAACTGACATCCTGTAGCATGAAACGCATAGACGATGGAAAGAATCTGAATTTTTATAAATTTAGACAAGTTTTTAAAATTTATTTAAAAGTTGATACTCACTCTCACAAGCACACAAACATATACACAACCACGCATATATGCATAAGATATTAATCATCCGTATGTCACACAATCTCTCTCACTAACGATTTTAGCATACATTTTTACATCTCAAAATGAATGAAATAAGAATTTTTTTAGGACATAGAAAGTGAATGCAGCACATACATACGCCCGCCCACAGCCTTTACTTTAATAAAAATAATAAAAAAAAAACATGAAATTAAATAACATAAAGAAGAAATAAGAAGGAAAAGGTTTTGTAGATGCAGATGAAAAATCATAGAGTTGGCAAGGGGCCGTTCACTTATTACGTTACGCAAAAAAACGACTTTTTTCACCCCCCTCCCCCCCTTGTTACAATATGTTATAACTCCCCCCCCCCCCCCCTGAACGTACATATTTCTTCCGTGAACTTTTTTTTAAAAGACATACGATAGTTAGAACGTTACATACTTCTTGACCCCCCCCCCCCCCATATGTTACATTTTAATACAATTTTTCAAACTCCCCCTCCCCCCTAAAATGCGAACGTAATAAGTGAACGGCCCCCAAGTAATGTATGTTTTCACTATATCAAGATACTTTGTTCGGTATTTTATGCTGACACGTGGAAATCTGTTTATATTATTGCTGTAAGACGTCTACACGAGCTTTTTATTTGTTCTATTAATAGGAAGACATAGAGATTATTGATTCACGTCTTCTGTTGATTGTGACTTTATCTGATAGACTCGACAAATGTTATAAAAACGAGTTTCAAATCAATTGCATGGTTTTGAACTTCTGTTCTTTAGCATCTGCAACGGAAAATTCAAATTTCAAAAAACCCGTAATATTCAAATATTAAAAAGCCATTAAAATTCAAATATCAAAAAACCGTTGAATTTTTTTTAAAGTCAAAGAAAATGAAACCCAAAACCTTTACAATCTACAACAATGCGAGCAATCGTAAAGAAATAGTGACTCATAAATTATCCAAATCAAACCCCATTCAATTGATATCCACAGTACCAATCAGCAGTAATCCATAAACAATGAAATTCAAACGATAACATCCATAAAAATTATCAATAACGATAATAGCATCCATTCTTTATATTCAGAGACGACAGATTATCGAGAAAGTATCTTTTTATGAGGAAAAAGCAAAGTTATATGTCAAGTCAATAAATAATGAATCATATTCGAGAACACAATGAAGTCCTTTTTACATAATAAATAAATACATAGATATTTACCATAAAGAAGAGAAAAAGGAATATAAATTGTAGACGATCCACAGAATAAGCGTAAAAATGTTAAAAAATTAATTGTTCGTGTAGATTTTTTTAAAAAGTATATTGAATGAGAAATAGCTTCGTTTTCTTATGTGCCGAAATGTCTGAACAAAAAATCAATCTAATTCGCCAAATAAACAAAATTCCTTTTTTATAATTGTAGATTTTTATATTGAAAGTTTTAATAAGCAGATAAGAATGGAATTTGAAGAATTAATTGAATTTAGTGGCTGAATTTTTCAATTATGAAGGAAATTGCAATTTTATAACTGTCAAAATTTGAATTTCTAAAACAATTGTGTGGTTTTTGATATAATTTATATGGTTTTAGTCAAAATTTGAACAGTTTTTGACATAATTTGAATATTTTTGAAATCATTTATACAGATTTAACGGTTTTATTAATAATTTGTACGGTTTTCATTAAATCATCAAAAATTCAAACTTGAAAAAGCCGTTATTAAACTAGTTTCAATAAATTCAGCTATTCATGCCAAAATTAACCTTTTCTGGTTTATAAAAATTTAAAGCACATGCCACACATATAAAAACCAGCAGATTTATTAGTTTAGATTGCATTTTAATGAGTCTTTCATCATTCTCACCATACAAATTCGGATGTTTCATATGCCAGGCATTTCATTGAAAATAAAAAAATAAAAAACGAAATTAAAACATAAAAAGTATAAATTAAAATAAGGGTATTCATTAAAAAAAAACATGTGTGAATTGATGATGAGTGTTGAGCATTTTTTACGTTTTTTGCAATATTTTTATGATAAAAAAAATATTTTGTGCAATAAACTCAATTTTAGACGTCTTTCCATCGTTAAATTAATTAAATTCATGCGAAAAATTATCGATAAATTTTTGTTACTTTACCATTCGAAATTTGTGAAAAAAATGCTAGATTTCCATGACTAACACATACACGCATATTTATGTAAATTTATAGCGAAAATAATCTGTGAAAAAAAAACTTTAAATCTTATTTTTATTGATAGCCAAAAAAAATGTTTATATTTATTTTATTTATTGAAGAGTCAACAAAGATAAAAAAGTTTGATGGTTATCAAAGAAATGAAACCATTTTATGGTAGTTAATGATGATGATGATGATCATGTCCTGATGCTGGCATAAAATTTTTTAATGATTTTGTTTTATTGCAAGTAATGCTGTAAATTTTTTTATCGTGTTTAAACATTTTTTTGATGCTGAATTGATAAGGTTTGCTTCTTATGTCGCTCTTTGGAAGATTTTTAAATAATTTAATGAAAAGGAATTAGAACTTCTGTCCTGTTTAACTTTGCCTTTGCTTACAGAATGTTTATTCTAATTTTGACAAAAAAATCAATTTTACTTGAATCATCTTAAATTGAATCTAGTAGAGTCAATTTTAATAGGATTGAATCTAGTCGACTTCATTTGAGTAAAATTGAGTCGATTAGACTTTAAACTCTGTTAAAAGTTAACTTAATCAGTTTAAAGTCATCAACATCATCAAACCAAAAATTTTCATTTGATATTGGTCGATATTAACGAAATGAATCTTATTAGGCACAAAATGAGCCTTCAAAGTTAATATATTAGCTTATTAATTACTGTAATTGTAAATTAAATCAAAAAAAGGCTTCACAACTTTTAATCTTTAATCTTAAGTTGTAAGATTGAAAGCTGGAAAGTCTTTAAGTTAATTTTTTTTATTTTTAAAGATTGTAAAATAAACGATATTACAAGTTTTTAAATATTCGTGTAAAAATTAAGTTTATTTTGTTTTAAAATAGTCCAAAAATGTTGAATTCAATTTCATTTTCACAAATTCATTGAAAAACAAAATTCCCGCCAAAAATCAACCTTAACAATTAGACTCGATTCTAGTCAAATCTGAACTCTACTTTATTGCAAAAGTTTTATTTTTATAAATTGTGCTAATGCCACTCTCAACCAGAACTCAAAGTTGACTCAAATTTTGTATGAAGTTTTGTTGACTTAATTCAACTTTTGCAAAAATCTCATTTAGATACCAAAAACCAACTTTTTGTACGTCAAATTTTTTTAACTTTTCATCAATGATTATAATAAATCGGAAAAATTTGTTAAATCGATCCATAATTGTGAAAAAACAAATCCATTTTGTGAATCTATAAACAAAAAAAAAGGGGAATTTGAAGATGCTGACTAAAGAGAATTCCTTTCAAACGAAGATAAAAAGAACATTTAAATTTAAAAAAATTTCGAAAGCATCGAAGAATATTAATTAAAATTAACTCTATCTTATAAGTCTCAAAAAAATCAGTCATTTAACATGAAGAAAAAAAACTCATTAATCCCTTCATTAGAAAAACACGGAAGTGACTCTTTATATCATTTAGAATACTTCAAAATAACTTTAAAAAAATGATAAAACTATTAAAAAAGTTTTTAAAAATTTGAAAAGATTTTCTTTAAAAATTCGTTTCAATTTGCAAAGATGAAATTTTATTTTTCTAAATTCGAGGAATTAAAGAAATTATTCCTTTTTTTCGGATAGAAAGCTCAAAAAGAAATATTTTTTATGTGAAATAAGCTTTTGGTTGTAAAATATAAGAAAAGAAAAATTCTTTTAAGACTTAAAAAATGAAAATATATTCTAATTAATTCGTAAATGAAGGTGGAACAGTTGGATGAAATTTTCGTGGAAGTTGTGGCTTGTAAAAGACATTTCAAATTAAAGAGAGTAGCAAACACAAGTGGGTTTAGGAAAACATATACTTTGGAACATCTTGAAGATGGTTAACTTACATGAACGACACTATAGCTTCATATCAAGGCTCCCGCAGATTATAATCTTCTTTAATCTTTGCATGAAAGATTATTAAAGATTACAATCTTTTTGTTTTTGAAGATTATAATCTTCAAACAGATATTTTAATCTTTAATAGTCTTTCATACAAAGATTATGATCTTCAATTTAATGCAAAAACTATAATTTTCGTTTTCAAATGATTATAATCTGCGGGAACCTTGTTCCATATCGCAGGTATGTGGACTTTAGAAAGGATTTAACAACAGTTTGTGAAACTTAAACTTAATGAAGGTTTTAAATTGTTTATAATTATTTTTGATAGTCTATTCAAAGGTTTCAACTTAAGAAGTACTCAGAAGTTTGAAGGAATCTAAATATATGATCGCAAAATGTAAATCTATCAATAATCTTAGTCGTGGTTTAGTTGTTCAAGTAAAAAGGAACGAATTCGATCTTCTGTCTGAACAAACCTTCAATCTTGAAAGTCGCAAAAGTCCTGAAATTTCCCACCAATTTTTCCACTTTCATTAAAGAACCATGTTCAATATTTTCCTGTCATTACAATTGGCACATATTTTAACATAAAAAAAAGTTGAGTCATTCATTTAAGTCATTTTTAAACATTTATATGAAGAAAAAAAGAAGAATTTTAAATAAAAAATTATTAAATGAAGTTGATATGTCAGAATTTAATTATGAACAAAAAAAAATAATAAAGAATCTCGTGAAAGCACATAAATAAGAGAAATAAAACATAGTAAAAAATAATGAAGCTGAAGAATTTTTTTGTCACACACTGAAAGAATCATTCAAATGTAAAAGCCAAACTAGTGAAGTAAAAAATTATTATCTATGAAAAAAGATAATTTTCTTGAGTTTTAATTTTATTACATATTTTGTCCTTATATTTCAGGAGAATAGTCACGAATATTAGGTAAATATTCATGCATCGAAATTAATTTTCAGGATATTGATTTCATTATTAAGGTAATTTTATTAAATTAATTGTAAGAAAAAAATGCAGTTCGTGAGTTTAAATGCCCCCACGACCACGACCAGCTGAGGGACCTCCTTGCTGCCATTTCCCACCTCCTTGACCACCTTTAGACGGCCCTGATGATCCACCGGGCCCACCTCTTCCTCTTCCCCTTGCCGCTATAGTTAAAATATAGCAAATTAGTAATTACTATTAATAATGTTATGATCTGTTGATGCTGTCTTCATACTCAAAACTCAAACATCCAGCACACTGGTTCTTCAAACTATATAAACTTACCTTGCGCTCGCAGTATAGCAGATTTACCCCTCCCCGCCGTTCCCGCTTTTGTCCCTTGCTTTTTAAACATCGGAGCATTCTTAAGCATGTCGGGCAGTATGAGGAATCTGATTTTTGATCCACGAATGTAAACGTTTTCTAATGTTGCCATTCTTCCATCTCTGTATGTCACTGTAATTTGTGTCATTTGACAATTCATGTTATCTTCAGCTTCAATAAGCTTTCCTCGATATACTTCGCCAGTTCTAGAAAGAGAAAAGATGTTTAATTAATTTTTCTGGATCTTACAAATTACAATCAAAAGTTCTTACATTGTTTCGCATGTTACAATGTGTCCTTCAGCTTCATGAAGAACTTTAATTGGTACACCAATCGACATTTTGTATATTAATCAGCTTTATATGGATTATAGACTAATACTTAATTAAATATTCTTGATTTTGTTGAATGAAAATTTACACACGATTTTAGCGGCTTGTTTATTATGATTGAGCAACGGACTGAGCAACAATGCTCAAAAAATTCAAAATTTTATATTCCGTTATTTTTGTTGCTCAGTTTGTAGCTCAGTTTGATTTGATTTTGTTTACGTTTTGCAAAATAATAAAATATCGAATTTAACATGTCTAGAAATGAGTAAGTAGAATTAAATAGCAGTCAATTAGTAGTTTTGATAGTGTAGAAAGTGTGTAGCTACAAGAACCATTGAAAATTTTGCTTAAAACGTTTAAAATTGAAGAAACTTATCTTTCAATGTTTACTGCCAAATTTATAGATTAATTAACAATCTCGTCATCTTTTCTTACAGGAACAAAGTGAAAATCATGCCGAAAGCAATTGTCTGTGAAGACTGCATAATTCAAGGCGATGTTACTATTTCCAGTGGATGTGTGAGTCATCAAAAATCATTCAAACTTTCAAATTTAACTTAATTAATGCCCCAAACAGGTTGTACATCCATCAGCTCAAATAATTGCAGAAACAGGGCCAATTGTCATTGGTGAGAACTGTATAATTGAGGAATATGCGAAGATCCATAATAGAATTCAACCCGAATCTCCTGACAAGCCACACATCCTTACAATCGGTCCTAATAACATTTTTGAAGTAGGATCAGTCATTGAAGCATCCAAAATTGGCGAGAAGAACATCTTTGAATGTAAAAGCTTTGTATCATCAGATGTCGAAGTATCTAATGGATGTGTTATTTGTGCTGGATGTCATTTAAGTGGCGGTCAACATTTATTAGAGAATACTGTGATATTTGGAAAGCACTGTCAGCAGAGAGAAGCATTAGATAGAATTTCTGGATCCCATATGCTGCAACTAGATTTTCTGAGAAAAATTCTTCCTAATTATCATCATTTGAGGAAGGCAAAGCAATAGAAGCAGCTTAAAAACGCATAAAGCTATCCTTTAAAGTGATAGGAACACATTTATTTAATCATTCTTTCTTAATTGTACTACATTTAACTAAATTTATATTGAATGAAAGGTTTGAACACGTCTTGCATAACTTGCATGCAAGTTTTTATTTCATAATCTTTTATAAACTCTCAAGAGCATGATCAGAAGAGTATATAAAAAGCATGATCATTGACATCCTTATGAGATTATGCTAAAGTTTTTCTTGCTATATACTTCACAAGCGCTAGCAGAAATCACTAGTATAGGTCCTATATACTTCACAAGAGAAAGCAGAAATCACTTTTATAAGTAATTATTTTGGACTTTCTATAGTTTAAATGTCTTTTCGCCATTTGAAAGTTATTTAATTTCAGAAGGCATTAGACAAGATGAACAGTTATCAGGACAAACTACACACAGCGTACTCGGGGTCGAATCACGGCAATAACCAAAAAAGAAGAAAAATATAAATTTCTCAAAAACATGATCAAGAGCATAATCACAAACTCATAAATTTTTTTAATTAAAATTAAAGCATGATCAGCAGAACATGTTCTTGATCATGATCTCAAGTTTAACTTGCATGTGAAATTTGCAAGTAAAAAAGCGTACTCTTGAGAGCGTGATTTCTGTGGTACCCTGCTGCGATCTCCATTTGTATGGGAGATTACGCTAATTTAACGTCATCAAATTAAAAAATTAATTTTTAAAAATCATGCTCAGATCGTGCTCTTTGTCTGTTAGGGTATATTAAGGCATAGTTAATCTTCTATTTATCATACCTATGACTATCTGAGATATAATGCTTATAGTCCAATAGAAGAGTTTCCAAGCCTTGATTTTAACTTAACTTAACTCAAAAATTTATAAATAAATTTTAAGATCTAAACTATGTAAATCATTCCCAAACACTAGTTTAACTAGTATTCAATAACGACGATAGGTTTCAATATATTCTTTGCATCTTGGACAATAATGTAGCACGTCGTTGCAGGATTTACAGCAATACGGTAAACAGCAACAGCAGAATCTGCAATTTTTATCAATTAATCTTCTTTATCAGCGTTAAAAGCTAATTGAACTCACGGAATTAACATAATTGAGGCACTATGAGTCATCATTGATGGTTCGGAGACAATATCCGTTTTGATAATAGTGCTGCAGTGAACACAAGTTATTTTAACTGATTTCGGACCGATTTTAACTTTGTTATTGTCTGCTTCTCTCATTTCTGGAAATATTGGATGATTTGAGGCCCAAAAACACTTTTAAGCTATTACCTGATCGATTGAATTGAAACGCATTATTCCTTCCAAAAATATGCAAACAGTAAGAATTACAAACGAAAAATAAATTATAAATAGGAAGAGCAAACTTTAAGATTCCAAGGCTTATCATAGCTTGCCAATTAATGCATTTTTCGTCACTTTTTTGACTGGTTCGATTGATTTGAATTATACTGCAGAGATTGTGTGACTCGACTAAAATACAGAACGGAACTGACACGGAAAATTTTAGCTGTCGATAACGAGCTGATAAGTGCTGTCTGATCACGTAAACAAATTATAATTAATGGGAGTATAATGGATTTATTATCTATGATTTAAGTTTAAGGTAAGTCTTCGCATTTATCTTTGCACGGTTTAATATGTGATTGCTGATTTTATGATAATACGTCGATCAAACTCTTATCAGATATGAAAGTTTAAAGTTTCTGGATTCGTTTGAGATTTTATGATTTGCAAGCAATTGAAATTGGAAGACGTTGAAACTATCCCAAATATCATATATATCCCACTTATCCCAAAAAATTTCTGAGCATGTATGCACGATAATAAAGATATCCAACGTATCCTTAGTGTATTGGACGTGTATTTTCAGGATATGATGGGATATCTCAATTCTAATGCATACAGGCTCAGGGATTATTTTGAATATTTTTGGGATGTTTGGGATAGTTTCCACGCCTTGATTGAAACTGATCATAAAATTGATGCTAATCGTTCAATTATCAGATTTGAGTATGATTCTTTAAGATTAGCAAACTTAATTTTGATTTGACAAATGTTAAAGTACACTCATAAAAAAAAATTAATAAATATTATTAAAAATGTATGAAAAAGTTTAATAAAAGTTTATAAAAATACATCTTGATAACTTTTACTAAAATTTGATAAGGGTTATTAAAAGTTTTGGTTTTACAAAATTGCATTCAAATTTTACAAAACCGTTAAAATTTTAATAATTTTCTTACTAAACTTTAGTAAAAAGTTATTAAGATGAATTTTTTTATAATTTTTATTAAATTTGTTCATGGATTTTAGTAAAAAGTCATTAAAATTTCTTGGATTATTTTTTTTACAAAAACAGCTTTATAGTATAATTAATTTATAGTATTGAGCTTTTTCAAGTCTTAAGTAAAATGCTTTCTCAAAGCTTAAGACTTTGCATGATTTTTGGCACTTAGTGTGCCTCATAAGAAATTAATAATTTTATATGACTTTGTATGAGAACTAAGACATTCTTTTGTATAAGTCATTTCTGGGAGCGTTTGTGAAGTATATAAAATGTATGAAAACCTTACAATTTTGGAAACCTACAACAGTTTTACAACGCTGTAGGATTTTAAAAACTTTTATTAAAATTTGATAAGTTTTACTAAAAGTTTGATAAGGTTTACTAAAATTTTAATAATTCTCATTAAAAAAATTTTAATAAGATTTTAATAACAAATTACTAAAAATATTTTTATGAGTGTATTTACTTCAACAACTTGTTCTAGGTCAATGTTTAACCGGCGTTCTTACGATTTTTGGTCGCTTACTGTAATCACTAAGGATATGAGATGCTTAACAGAATGCTAGCTCTAGCTATTTATCTACTTTGATTTGAATCTTTGGTATAATTGATGATTCAGCTTAAGTAAAGAACCTACACAAATATTCATGCATCAATAACAGAAAAGTAGCTTTACTTTATATGTCAACAAAAGGAATTAGCATAAACAGATCATAAATGCTTTAAATTTCACAAAACAATTGTTTATTGTGTCAATAAATTTTGCATCACAATTAAATTCTAGTTCCATGACTGTGTCAAAATCCAGCACATTAGAAATAAACATGTGCGTGAAGTACGGCCGAGACCCATATCGACACAGTTCAAAAGTTATACCTAATTTATGTCATAATTATGTCAGCTACAAAAACACTTAGTTTGAATTTTGTCACCCTCGGGAACACTATGAACCAGTATAGCTGATTTTGGTGCAAATCTCGGCCATACTTCAAATTTATTTGAACCACATTTTCTCGTAAATGTTAAAATATTATTAAAAAGTAATTAATCCTGAATTATGTCGCTATTTTGTCAAGTGTTTTAAGATAAAGAATTTGTTTTTTTGGTTTCCACAGTGAAGAGTATGAACAAAATTCAGATGGGGTAGTCGAAATTTTAGATTTCGATTTTTTTAAGCTATACATTACAAAAAGTAATATTGGTATGTGATTTATGTCAGAATTATGTCAATTCAAATAAAACACCCAAAAAATTTTTTTGAGCAAAGAATCAAGTAGGAAATACATTTTCAATTTTGGACTAGGGGCGACCCTATACAAAATCAATTTTGTCACTTTTTTCTTTGAGTGTTTATCCAAATGGACTGAAACTTTGCATAAATATTTTAGTGCTTAAAACAAATACAAATAAAACATTTAAAATTTTTTTGAGCAAAGAATCAAGTAGGAAATACATTTTCAATTTTGGACTAGGGGCGACCCTAGTCAAAATCAATTTTGTCACGTTTTTCTTTGAGTGTTTATCCAAATGGACTGAAACTTTGCATAAATATTTTAGTGCTTAAAACAAATACAAATAAAACATCTTAAAATTTTTTGAGCAAAGAACCAAGTAGGAAATACAATTTCAATTTTGGACTAGGGGTGACCCTAGTCAATATCAATTTTGTCACTTTTTTCTTTGAGGGTTTATCTAAATGGATTGAAACTTTGCACAAATATTCTAGTGCTTAAAACAAATACAAATAAAACATCTTAAAATTTTTTGAGCAAAGAACCAAGTATGAAATACATTTTCAATTTTGGACTAGGGGCGACCCTAGTCAAAATCAATTTTGTCACTTTTTTCTTCGAGGGTTTATCCAAATGGATTCAAACTTTGCATAAATATTCTAGTGTTTAAAACAAATACAAATAATCCTACTTGGTTCTTTCCTCAAAAAATTTTAGGATGTTTTATTTGTATTTGTTTTAAGCACTAGAATATTTATGCAAAGTTTGAATCCATTTGGATAAACCCTCGAAGAAAAAAGTGACAAAATTGATTTTGACTAGGGTCGCCCCTAGTCCAAAATTGAAAATGTATTTCATACTTGGTTCTTTGCTCAAAAAATTTTAAGATGTTTTATTTGTATTTGTTTTAAGCACTAGAATATTTATGCAAAGTTTGAATCCATTTGGATAAACCCTCGAAGAAAAAAGTGACAAAATTGATTTTGACTAGGGTCGCCCCTAGTCCAAAATTGAAAATGTATTTCCTACTTGGTTCTTTGCTCAAAAAAATTTAAGGATGTTTTATTTGTATTTGTTTTAAGAACTAGAATATTTTTGCAAAGTTTCAATCCATTTGGATAAACCCTCGAAGAAAAAAAGTGACAAAATTGATTTTGACTAGGGTCGCCCCTAGTCCAAAATTGAAAATGTATTTCCTACTTGGTTCTTTGCTCATGTTTTATTTGTATTTGTTTTAAGCACTAGAATATTAATGCATATTTCAATCCATTGGATAAACCCTCGAAGAAAAAAGTGACAAAATTGATTTTGACTAGGGTCGCCCCTAGTCCAAAATTGAAAATTGATTTTTTGGATGTTTTATTTGAATTGACATAATTCTGACATGAATCACATACCAATTTTACTTTTTGTAATGCATAGCTTAAAAAAAACGAAATCTAAAATTTCGACTACCCCATCTGAATTTTGTTCATACTCTTCACTGTGGAAACCAAAAAAAAAATTCTTTATCTTAAAACACTTGACAAAATAGCGACATAATTCAGGATTAATTACTTTTTAAAAATATTTTAACATTTACGAGAAAATGTGGTTCAAATAAGTGTGAAGTAAGGCCGAGATTTGGACCAAAATCAACTATACTGGTTCATAGTGTTCCCGAGGGTGACAAAATTCAAACTATGTTTTTTTGTAGCTGACATAATTATGACATAAAATGAAATGAAAAGTTTCAAGGTTAATAAAATTCAAATGACATTATTTTTTATTTTAATTATAAAGAATTAAGCACGAGTTTATGGTTAAGTGCTGTTGTTACATCATAAAAATTGCCGGAGCCGACAGAGTAATGATGATCATCGGTAAAGAAATAAATAATAATGAATGAAACATAAACAGAGAATTAATCATTAGACATACAGCATAGAGAGCATCTCTCTTAAAATGAGATGCTGAAACAGGTTTACATGTTGTTACACAAATCCGCTTCAACTACACCTGCACAATCCGCTCGCAGCACCAATTCAAATAAGAATGTTGAGTTTTGTTTACATTTTTTACATGAATTCACATGGAATTTCACACAACTACAGGCATAGCATTCATTCATGAAATATTACACCTTAACACATAGCAAAAATAAAAATATTCAACAGGTTTCGTCAGTCTAGGTTGATCTTTCAAAGACGGCAGACCCCAAATTCAAATCGCTCCAACATAATTTTATTTTATTTTTTTTGCCTATGTGGGAATAAAATTTTCTGCATTGAGACACAATTGAATGTCATTTGAAGAAGTGAAGAATAAGAAAAAAATATTGCAAAATAAAGTGGAATATTGTGATTTGATTTGCAATATAAAAAAATAGAAGAAATTTAAATAGGAAGAAGAAAATTTATGTGCTGTCAGATATGTGAATTGTGAATAAAACACAAAAAATAGAAACAATGGCAATAAGTTTAATCTAACGAAAAGAAAATTTAATAAATTAAAATAGAATAAAAGGTGAATATAAAAGAATTATCATGTAATTTCTCGAAGTGAGAGTCAGCCATTTTGAATTCTCAAGATAATTTTAACTCATGACTCTACGGAATAAGAATCAACACACGAAAGCAGAATGTGAAGAGAATAAAAAAGTAATAGGTAGAAGAAGAGGAAATTGAGTTGTTGTAAAGAGCTTCGATGAGAATTTGCACAAAAAAAAAGAAAGAAATAAGAATAAATATAAAGAAGAGCTCAACATGTTCCGTTAAATTGATGATGTGAATTATTGTGTGTGATTGTACGCAAAGAGATTTAGTGACTAGCTGATCAATTTCTTTTATGACGTGACACAAATTCTTTCTCTTTGGCTATTAATGATATTTAAACCGAAAAAACCAGTTACTTTACTACCGAAAATAATAATTTCTTGTGGCCTTTAAAAACGAAAGGCAAAACATAAGCAAGAATGTGAAATTGTGTGTATAGAAGAGATATTGGTGTTACATGCTGTTAGCAACATCAATACGTACGTGGAATGAGACAAAAAAAAAGACACTCCCGAACGTAAAACCTGAATAATTTTTATTTTTTCATAATATTTGCCGTTAACTCAGCTCGAGAAAAAAAAAGAAATCAATGTTTGAGGGCCGCTGACTTCTTATGTCGGTGGTAAAGAGTCACATTGTTGGAATTCTTCTTCTTTTCTATTTATTAATACTGACAGCATAAAAGAAAAGAGTCTAAAAAAGTTATGAGTAAATAAATGCAAGAAGAAAGAAAATAAAATTTATCGCACGCGATTGAAGTGAAAAAATATTAATGAGAAAGTATCAAAGCTAGTTTTGGAAGAGTCGCTTGGGCGCATTAGAGGATAATAGGCTCTAGTTAAGCTTTGTTATATTGATGATTATCAAAGATAAACTATTTGGATGTGAATTCTTGTTGAGAATATGTTAACGGTCATTTCATATTCAAATTATTATAGATGCAACTATAGCTAGTTTATTTCCCCTTGTATAGTTGTTAAACCCTTTCATACAAATATTAGGTCTGTTTCTAATTATCGAACAATAAACATCTTGTTATTAATTATAAATGGTATAAAGACATTTTCACTTTGCTCCTCTATGTCACAAAATTTATTGCTCAAGTTTATGATTCAGACAATTGTTAAGTCGACAAATCTCATCTGATTCAAATAGAAATGTAAAACTATACAGGAATTGAACTGCTAATGTTATATTGTAGAGATAAATTCAGTTCACAAAGAATCTTGTATTTAAAAGGCTACAATAGATCAATAGCACAAAGTGCAGATCAAAACAAACGCACAAGCTAATAAAATCGTGCAAATATCAAACAAAGTTAAAAGTGTTAAAGCAAAAAACTTTTTTGATTGCAAAAAAAAAACATAGCGAAAAGATTTTTAACTTTTGTTCCACCAATAATTCCCAACAATTGTTTTCGATAAAGAGAAATTTACTGTTCAATTGCTGTTTGATGGATACGGCCGAGTGAAATGAAAGAGAATGTTATTATGCTACCACTTCTGTTTATTGCTCTTGTTATGAATTTTATAACTTTTTTGTTTTTTTAGTATACTTGCCTATATTTTTCGGGAGGCATTAAAATTAGCATTTGGTAAATTATAGCAAAAGAAATTTCCTGACTTTTGAGCTTCGCCGATGAGAAAAGTTGCTTGAATCGAAGAAAAAAAAAGATTCAAATTAATTCAAAGAAATGAAATTAGGAAAGTGGAATGGAATGTTAACTCATTATTATACAAAAGAATAATCACCTAATTTCGATTCATGTGTGTGTGACAAACACAAGCCTAGATATTATCAATGAATTTATTATAGCTCCAAAAAAGTTGTCCAAATTTTATTAAGATACACGAGCTGTTTACAGTTTCTTAATCTAATTACAATATTTTTTTGTTGCTTTTAAATTATTTTTAAGCATTAATAGCATTCGAAAAAATTTCACTTGGTGTTCAATCGTGGCTGTTTATTAGCCTGCAGGTTTCTATTTGACTTCTTTGTATGCTGTTTTGAATGGCTCACAAATATTTTTTACAAATTTTGGTTAAATATTTTCTATTCATGAAGTTTTTAGCTAATTGATTTGTAAAGAGTAAAATCAATTATCGTTGTAAAAGTGTTGTCTGAAAATCAATTTAATTTTATTGAAAAATTATCTTTTAACCGCCATTTTGAATTTAAATTTGCATGAGAATCTCACATTTGTAAACAAAATAATCTCAACTCTTGTAAACGTAAACACTCAATCAGATTTGACTCGCTGTGAGCAGTATTCAATCATTTCACTTTATGCAAACAACAATCAATAATAGATATTCACTTGAGCTCTTATTTAATGTACATGTTGAAAATGTTAATTAGAGCAATTTTCAATCAAATTCTTAAAAGTAAACAATATTCTGAGCTAAACAAATAGAAAGTATTCATTACAAAATTGCTCTGGCTATAACAGATTGTAAAGTATGTCATAGAACATACCATTATTTGAGTAACTAGTAATTGAATGCTATGGGTTTTAAATATTATTGGTAATTAGAGTTTTAATGGACTTTTTTTGTAAATTTTTAAAGTGAATCTGATCTTTGATTAGTTGTTTGATTAGTTGTTAAGGCTTCCTTCTTAGAATTCAAAAGATTTGGCAATGAATTGACAAAATTGGCACATTTGTTGGAGATTAAACTGTATTTTATGTTGGTTCCTTTCTACCAACGATGTTATTATCTCCAGACTCGTCACTAAGTTTCCTTCTTTTTCAAATATTAATATTTTCAATAAATTGATGCTGATTCCAATAAGATGGAAATCAATACTAATTTAATCCTGTTATGCGCCAAAAATATTGCTTAAAACATTTCTAAGAAACTGTAGAAATCCATAAGAAGTAAAATTTAGGTGCTGTAGACTAGTACAATTGCAAAAAAAAATATTTCACGTTGAGATCATTTTCATCTAACATACATTTTATTATTCGTAAGCTGTATTACTCATTCCTTTGTTATGCTGCTTTATTCTTATATATTGAATAAATTTGCAAATCATTCATTACAGAGACATGAAAGTAAATAAAATGAATATGTGCTCAATAAATTTACTCAAGAGACTTTAAAGCTATACGGCTGCGTATTATAATTACAGCAGACAAACGACTAAGTCAATTAAAATAGCAATTGTACTAGTCAGAAGTGCAAGCATAATGAATGTTTGACCGCAAGGCATAAATGCAAAATCACCAGTAAAGATAGTAATTTTCTTCAACAAATACAAGCATTCAGATTCTAATGATGTAGTTATCATTAATTTCAACAAGAAAAACCATCATAAGCTCTACTGGATAGCTAGTAATGATCGTTATTTACGCAGCTGAAGATATTAAATTTCTCTGTGTGTTTATTTTCAAGACTTTTCTTATGGATTTAAGAATAATTCTAGAAGTAATCAAATGAACTTGTTTGAAATAGGAAACAAAATATTTCTCTTTATGCTGTCAGCTTAGATTAGAGAAAGATAAAGTTTTAGTATTCTTATATTAATCAAATTTGTTTAGAAAAACTTGAATTTCTTCTGGTAAAGATTATCAATAGAACTAAGAATCAAAGATCGAGACGTTATTGTTTCTATTAGAACTGCATTCAGAGAGGTTCTGTTAATGACTCTTATAGCATCACAATAATCTTGATATCTACAGTGGAATCAATCCTCATTCCTAAGCTAAGTCTATCTCCTCAAAAGTTATTACAAATCAGCAGCAATAAACGGCAATCTTTTACTTGTTTTCCTTCTTGTTTAGAAATTTTTCTTTTATTTCCATCGACCGCTAACTTAACGCTATGATTTAAAAGTCTTGGACTTGAAAAATGAATTTGAATGCTCATTTTTTTGCTTCAAAATCTTTTCTTTATTTACATTTTTTGAAATTACACGAAACTAACTGAGCAAAACCAAAACCTGTAAATGGATAGTAAATTATGCACAAATATGCTGCGTGTTCATTTACTTACATCATAAAATTGAAGATTACGATATGAAAATGAAGATTTTACAATGTTGATAGGGAAACTTTACGAAAATAATCACGATCAATTAAATTTCATATGAATATGCTGATTAATCATATTGTTTATTTTTGTTGAAATTAAAAACTGAAGCTAAAGTGCTGATGGAATCAGAAAAATAAGCTGTGAACATTAATAATTATGATGAATAGGTGTAAAAAATTAATTAAAGTTTATTGACTTTTGGTAATTTTTCAAATCAAATTTTGAAATTTGATATTTATTTGATTTTCGGAGAAAGTTAATTAATTTAATTTGTGTTGGTTTTAATGAAAATTCATTTTTAAAAAGCTTCTTCCAACAAATTGAAAACAATTTTTTCCAAAAATATAGATTCATTTTATTTTATTGACAAAATTCATTTTTGTTGACATTTCAAGTCCAATTTATTCCTTAATCGTTCTTAGAAGAACAAAATACCATTAATGATTCGTTAAAAACTGGTTCAATAAAGACTGCAAATGACAGAAACAACTTTGCAACAAAGTTAAACAACAAAACTCAAATTACGATCCGTGCACGTGTCGTCTTCGATTTTTGACACAAATTATCTATTTTTAGATTCTTTTATGTCCACATAAACCTCCATAAACAGAAAAATTTTCACATTCTTTAATATTTTGTCGATTCAGACATAAAAGAGAGAATTCGAGAAGAAGTTGGCATAAATTTTGTGCATTGAGCATTTCTGAATCTTCCTCAAAATGATGTTAAATGTTAAAGTTTCGACGATGAATAGAAAAATTGACCAGATTGCTGAAGATGCTAACATTTAACTTCTTATTATTATTGATTTAAAAGATCCGTTTATTACTGAATTAAATAGCTTCGGAAATTTCGATTTTGAAACATGATACGGCATTAATGTTGACTTATTCGTCTTTTTTGGTATTTATTTGATAATTCGATCATCAAATTACGT